TTCGCCATTAGCGTTTCTGACGCTTAACAAATGAAAACGCCTATTTACGCCACGGTGTTACGAATAGTTATATTTGAAACACTGTGTTGTAAATAGGCTACCCATGTATTAACATGGGATACATTCTATCATATTGCAGTACAAAATTTAAACAGCCATACCTTTCGTTTCAGCAACTGGCGCATTAAAATATTTATTTGGGACATTAAATATTTTTTTTTAATTTTGAGCTGTCAAAATAGAAAACGAAATGTATTATATTGTTTTGTATTCTTTACTCGGAATAAATTTGGAGAATAAAATGAGCAAAAACGCAGTGTTGACATAAGTCAAATCCATTTTGGATAGACGAATATGATCATTTGAATAAACTGCTTGTATTCTAAAATAAACATACAAGTTTTGCTGTGGTAGGACCACGCAACAGTGTTCACAGTTGCACGATTGGGCAGGGCCGTCCCGGTAAGTACCACGACCTCACAGAAGATAGGCCTAAAGTAGACGTGTTACACTTCTGCGTTTCGTCTGGTAAGTGAGGTATCCGGGGCCCACTTTATTTATAGGTGGCGACGCATTTGCAAACCTACGGGTGGTGTAAATAACTCCATGGGCGTAGGCTATCACTTAACATCAGGTGAACCGCCAGCTCATTTGCTACTTTGTCGTATATAAAAAAAGTTAAAATAAAATCCCTGAAAATAATCGAACAGAAACTTTATTGAAAATTATACGTAATACATTAACTAAAAAATCTTTAAGCCTTTCTGAAGTTACTAATTACAAATTTCGAATTCGAACCCCGGGCTAAAACTCATTGTTATGCGTGAGGTGCCTTTTCATTTCGGTTTCGGCGCATTGATGGCTTTTTAATTCAGTCGTGTTTCCGGTAATTAAAACAACAAATAACGTCTACCTTGTACAGTCAGGTAGATGGGAGCGTCTATAAAATTATAAAAGGACCATTGATCAGATTACTGTCCGAACCATTGTCAGGGGGCCACGACGATAAATCGTGGCTATTGCCAGATATTTTGTTTGTTCTAAAGTCACGAAAGAAACAACAGTCGCAATAGATCGTGATAAACATAAAAAAGCCCGAAAATTTCTAGAAAGTGTCTCAAGAAGTTTACTAAACCTTGTACTTAAAGTGTAAGACTCAATTCTATCTATATTTAGGGCCTACAAAGGTTTTGGTAAAATACAGATTGCAAGAAATAATTTAAGATGTTAAACTCTAAACCTCATAGAAACAAAAGCGATGATGTTAAATCCTGAATAGTTAGCGTAAATAAGTCAACTAGTAAAAGTCTACATACATACTATATAATATATTTCCTGAAGGCCTACTTGTCAATTCAAGAGAAATTTTTTAAGCTGGAAAAAATTATGTGTAGATACTTATGTCATCAGTAGAATTTACAACAAAAATCCTACAACTCATTACAAGTCAAGCGAAAACTAATTACGAGGGCTCTGATACCAATGCATCTTCTTTTCGATGTTAAATTATAATAAGTGAATAATATTTCAGGACACATCGTGTCACCTGTACTATGGGTACTAGATAACTGTAACTTATACTTTTATTTTGTAAATAAATCACTTATTATAGATATATAAACACTAATACCATGGAAAAACAATACATTAATGACACAATATTTTGTTCACTAGAACGGATTGAACCCACACCCTCCGACGTAAAAGACGGATTCACTATCCACTACGCCAATCGGGTCGTCAATAATGTATTGGCGAAATTTCGGCATCCACGGAAATAGTTCTGATGGAGTGGCTTTGGCGGGAAGCCAGTGCGCTTCTACATGAAGGGGCAATCTCGTGATTAAAATCTCTAGACTCACAGTATTTGCGGAGTATAGTTCTTTGTCGGTCAAAGATTAACATATACAGTGTATAGTTAACAATTAAACCGACCCGGTAAATTAGAAAAAATGTCGGCTATTACATTATCACGTGCTCAGCGGTGAAGGAAAACATCGTGAGAAAACCTGCATATTTTCGAAATAATAACAAAAAAAAAATATTTCGAAAATATGTGAAATCCGCCAATCCGGAACTGGGGCCGCGTGGTGGACTATGTCCTGATACCCTCTGTACAGAGGAGGCCTTTGCCCAGCAGTGGGACATGTATAGGCTGATAATTTACTTTATCGGTCATTTTATGTAGGATTTAGAAGTTAATTGAACTTGCCAATGCCATCACATCAAATATTATGTATAATATTTAGTCTACGTACAGCCGTGAAGGTATTGTTTATCTTCCGGATCTATCTACAGTAGAACATTAGATACAGGTTCGAAACCCGATTAAAAAGTCCTTTACATTATTTTATAACGTTAGTAGTGTTAACCACAAAATCGGTTGTCCTTTAGTGCTATGTCAGTTAAAACTTCACTGAGAAATAACGATAGCAAGTTTATTTATCTATATATAAGAAACATACATGTCTTGTCAAAATGTGTAAACATTACCCCGAGGCGTGTTTCAATCACTAACAAACTAACAATAGGAACTGGGTCATGGAGGCCTTGACACGTATATTTTACGGCGCGATCTATTTTTCATCTAATACCTGGCCGGCTGTTTACAATATAGTATTGGGTAAGTGAAACATAGTTATGCTCGCGTTTTGAAATAGCACGCACGGTTCCTTTAGAAACTTGAGTCGGCGGGATCGCGATTATATCGTTACAGAAGGTCGCATGTTTCCTTTCTGGTCACATGATTGTGCTTTCGTAACGCATTATCCGTTATATCCTGGCTCATACAATTGCAATTGAACTGAATATGTTCCGTTAGGGAATGTATGCGGCGAATGTTATAAATGCCATTATAAAATTAAGATCAGAAATTTGGACCATTCAAATGGCAACAATGTGCTTTTCAAAGTTGAGTTTGATGATTTGGTTTCCGTCAACCGCCGTTGAAACAAATTCCATACGTGCTGTAGCAAATATACACATCAAAGATCTCTGTGATTCTAACATCCATATGAAATTCGCTCAAAACCAATGTCGGTTACAATCTAAGTTCGTTTAACTCGATTGAGATAAAAATGTCGAACACTCACATTAACATCTATCATCGGGTCAGCAAAAAGCACATCACTCGCGACACACACACAAACACAATCAAGCACGCACACGATAAAGGCACACAAGGCTCGAAATCTAGTCGATTTTTCGACAAATCTACGTCCGCGAACGTCTAAACTTATATATATTTAGTCGTGTTTAAGACGCAGGCGTCAGTTGCGTACGCGACGGAGCGACTGACCGACTGACGCGAGTCGTCGCGACGCCTGGGCATTGTGGGAACGGATTAAGCATCGGAATTTAGTAGCTAATGACCGAGTCGATTATTTATACGATAGCGCACACCCGTTGTGGTATTGTGGCGTCTTACTATGTTCGATTGCACGCGTCCCGCACTGGAACGGAACTTGCGTCACTGATTTAGCGCCTGATATTTAGGCTAAATGTTTACGAAGTCTTAGGGCATTGTTACGCGGTTGACATATCTCATCATGCTGCCATAATCTGTCGTCGAGTGATCTCGTAATTGCGACGAGTGCAAGAAACGAAGAGTGCAATTAAATTTGTAAGAGAACAATTTCTATGAGAGATCGTGTTGGATTACTTATCATTACTATATAATATTTAATATGCTTTCTAATTCGCACTAAAACCATTTGGTTAGGGGCTACTTTGGGGTTGTGAATATAAAATGTTATTTTTAAGGTAAAATAAATAATACAAAAATGTTCAACTAATTGAACTGGTCATTATAATCGTAACCTCTAATGACTGAATAAGTCTTCTCCATATGCTTATGGACTTCTCATTGCACGCCTTTGATAATGTTATTCCTGAATAACGAACACTAAGCTACAATGTTTTGAATATTAAATGTTTGCGCTCCCAAAGTGTACCCGTTGAAAGCAGACAGGCAAGAGTGTTGCCATGTGGCAGGAATTAAGGCGGGAATGTTTATTGTCTTTCTCATGAGGCCCTTAATCATTTTTATTTTTACACACACCGTCAACACTCGACGCACACACACGCACAGTTAACTACTGCAGCTCGTGTCCATGTTTACTTCGTCCAAGCATTTGGCGATAAGAAAATTGCCATTGAATTCGGTTGCTGCATAATAAAACAACTGATCAGTGTTGTTCCTTTCATTATGAGAACGACATGAGATCGGTGAGTTCCTTTTATTATGAAAACGAAACGAGATCAGCATGAAAACGAAACGAGATCAGTATGAAAACGAAACGAGATCAGTGAGTTTCTTTTGTTATGTGTAATCCCAAAGGGGACGAAAACATTTTCTTTTTATACCAATGCAAACAGGAAATGGCCCAAGTAATTAGGTCGGTAACAATTTTCCAACAACTATTTAAATGAAACACCTATAAAAGACGAACGGAACGATTACGTCGAGTATAAGCTTTATTAACCACCTAAATTATTTATTACGTTAATGATCATTTGAGAGGGATATAATGTTATGGCCTTTTGAATCTCGGTCAAAGCAAAATTTTGTGAGAGTCAAGTCTTCTATTCATTCGTGGTAATTGCACGCTATTTTCAAGTGGAAAAATTTACTCATCTAAAAAGTTACGGCCGCCGCGGATCTTAGTTATAGCGTCTAGGGGGCGAAGCCGGAAGACGCAGGTTCGATTCCCGCAACGGCCAAAGGTTTTGTGTTTAGTACTTAAATCTGCATCTTAAGTGTAGAGACTAAACTCTTAAAATTAATAATTACATACTATTTGACCGAATCATTAAATTGGAACAAGTTACTTCGTCACGAACGTACTTAAATGCCAGATTATGGATATGAATGTTCCAAAAACACAAAAGGTTGACTCCGCGTCTACTTAACAATCCGGTCGACATCGAGTGCTGACGCTATTTAAAGTTACTAAAAAAGAAGGCATCTAGCAGTGCAATCAGGAAGGGTGTCCACTCACCGAGACCTTGCTGTAGTCGTGATGGTGCGCCAGGTGCAAGGGGGCACAGCTCGAGGCGGCGCTGGAGACGCTAAGGGCGTCCCCCTCGCTCGTGCCCTCCCCCTCGTCCCACCTCCGCCGCCCCGACCCGCTGCGAACACCCCCGCGCCCCCACACCCGCTCAAGCGAAGCACACTCAAGCGCCACCCCAGCCCCCGGAACACCACTATCGCCCTCGCAACCGGACGAGCTCTCCGAGCACTCGACGCTAATACCGCTCTCGCATTTAGACTCCTTCGATTCGGCCTCCTCCGAGATCGTAGCGATCTCGTCGGGGCCGAAGTCGCCGAATCTGAACGAGTCGCTGTGCACCCAAGGCCGCTTGGCGGTGCTTATGTCTGACTTTACAGTCTCCGCGTCTGATGTGTCCTCGTCCGAATGCGAGCCGACATCGGAGCCCCCCTCGGAGGACTCCTCCAGGCACGTTTTGAATGAGGCGTCAGATTTTATCGTCACGTTCGAGTTGCACGACTGCAACGACCAGTGGCCCGAGTGTTCCGACGAGCTGGATTTGCGCAGCAGCGAATGCGTAGTATCGGAAGCACACGTTGGGTTAGTGTCGGCTGATGTCGAGTTGCCACCTAGCGATATGACCTCGGCTATGTCTTTAACGGAGTAGCGCCCGTAGGAGGATGCCATTGACGAGTAAGGGGACATGGTCACGTAAGTTGGACTTTCCGGCGACTTGACTATTTGTTTAACGTTAACAACGGCATACGGTTCTTCTAGGTTTGAAGGTACTGATTTTATTTTTGGTAGCCCGGATTTGTTTACTGTCGAGGAAGGAGAAGCCTCAAGTGTAATGTCTGGTGTCGAAATGCTTTTCTTTATTGCAGAGAACTTAATAATTAAATCCGTTTTGTTTTGTCTTCGATCGTCGTGCAAAGTGCATGTTTTACTGTCACAGAAACAACGAAATGATGAAGCTCTTAACTCCTTCATGTTTTGTAAATCGTCCATATCTATCGTTACCCTTCCCTCTTCTTCTTGATTAATTTCCAACAAATCTTCTGCACTAGCGTGGTGCTTTGGAGGTTTGGGCTTACAAAAGCATATTGCTGTTTCATAATAACTATCTCTTTTATCATTCGCGACTTTAGTAAATGGTTCGACATCTTTGTATAGTGTATCTCTATTAAAAATGTAGATGAATTCTTCGACTGTTGGCGCTTTGTAAATACAATGTCCCGTTCCTCTAATATGATAATGTGGAAGCGTCTCTTTTAAGAAAGAACTGTTCCATTTCGGTAAATCCCTAACGTTGGTGGAATTTCTATCTACTTCAATGTTAGTAAAGGTTTTATGTCTAAAAAGTACCTTCTTACCTCCGGCACGTTCACTTTTTTTATTGGGTAGTGTACCTGTCATAGACAAATAAATTTTGTTGTCTTCCACGTCACCACTACAGTCGACATTTTCTAAAGCACTAGCTTCTGTCTGATTAGATGAATCTGATGCATCTGACGGAACCCTACGGATGCTTGACCTGTTTGTTGTACTATATACATTAGATGTTTTGGTGTGACGAAATGATTTTGATTTGGTTGACAAAAAAATGTCTTCCAAATTAGATTCATCAATCATGGAATCCGAGGATAAAGTTGAAGATCTACTTATATTAGGAGAAGAGCTATTCGATCTATCTTTAGTCACTGGCATATTTCGCTTTGGAACTTCAGGTACGTTTCTTTCTTTTGTTAAGGATATATTTTCATATACAGGTTTCTGTTGTGAATCATCATGTGGGATTTTGATAGGAATATGTGTTCTCGCAGCTGGTGTGGGACGGGTACATTGATTCTCTACAACAATATTCTCGTAAATCGTAACATCATTGCCCGCCGAATTTATAATAACATTTGTTCTTGGTGTTGGTTTAGGGATTGATATGTCTTCTAGAGACCGTTGCGGTTCCATGTATATATCGGTGTTTTCAGATGAAAACTCAAATGATTCATAACATTCATTGACTAACGTCGCTGATTCTAAGGAGGCCGTGGAAAGCAAAGATTTTCGATTTGTCCTCGGTTCAAATATGTTGTGTTTAGTTTCATAATTGACAGCCTCAGTCAGTGGCATTAAATTCGAATTGGATTTATCACAATTCGCATCAGCCACAACAGAGGCATCTGCAATTGATTCTTGGGAATCACTTAGTTCATTATTTTCCGAAATATTAGGTAAAGATGTTTTGAATCCAGGACAACTTCGGTTACTACGATTAACAGAAGAGTCCCTGTTCAGCGTTCCTAACCTATCTAATGAAATAGTATCGAATTCATCGTTACAGACTATTTCACCAGACTCCTCCTTTTTCGACAGTATTTTAAAAAATTTACTATTACCGATAAGTAGAGTATTCGCCGAGTTTTTACTATCCGAATGCTTTGATTTAACATCACTTTCCGACTCTAAGCCCGAACTGTTAGAGATATTAGGAGCAGAGTTAAACTTCGCTTTTAGGCCCAAGCATTTAGAAGCAAGCTTTTTGACAAAACTTTGAGGAGTACTTTTTGTTAGAGACGATGAAGATGGAAATAAGCTTTCACTTTTGTTAGTATTTTTCTGGGTCTCTGGGGCCTTCCTGTAAAACACATAAAGCAACAAAATAAAATAAACAGGAAAAATTAAAAAATAAAATGTTCTTATCTGTAACACGATTGTTAGTATGAATGTAAGTAGACCATCACCAAAAACCATGTTTATGTTAAAGAAAACAAATTATTAGTCGTTAAAAATTCATACCTGTCATTTTTCTATCTCATTTTTATAAAAGGATCATAATTATAATTCTGTGCCGCGATTTTTTATAACGACAACGTAAACGTAATTCAAGTTATTTTTGTGAATGCTTTACGCCTTCTACGAAATGTAACATTCTGCCCTCTTTTTCTACAGTTAAATCGGACGCGAACTTTACCTATCTTCACATAAGCATTATGTCTCTTGGGTCGATGAAACACAAGTCTTTAATTTTATTATTATTAACATTTCTTATACTAAATCATAATAGCGGGTATCCGACAAAAGTCTATATCCTTTCTTAATTTTATTACAATTCATGGGCACACAGACGCATTTGTAATTAACACATTTGTACTTTTTTTAACACTGAGAGTGGCTTTGGTTTTTGTTCTACCGTGTGACAATACTTTTACACTTCTCACGGATGTTTTGGTATAAGAGACTTTCATGACAGTTTATGCAAACTGTTTCTATCAAGTAGTTTCTTTTTTCATATAGAAAGTTTTAAATGCGAAATTAAGACGTGTTCTGTGCCACGATATCCATCAAAATAGCATACGAAATAAGACAATACAGCATGTCTGCTATTACCAAAGTATTATAGCTTTAGGCATCCTATTAAAGACCTGTAATTTAAAAGTTTAATCACACATCGTTGAAACTTAAAATTTAATTCAAGTTTCAAGAAAAATTTCATACGAGACTATGAATACTAACTTAGCGTGAGCTTCTTCCTTATTATAATAGATTGTTTAATTTAATTTCCGCGCAAATCCCAAAGGAGCGCCTTTCAAATCAGACTTCAAATGGGACGTCGCGAGTTCTTTTACCACTGTCAAAGGACGTCTACGCGGGCGACTTTCGCCCTCCGCCCGCCGCGTACCTGACCGTTGCTAGACAAATTCAAAGACACGGAAGATTTTAATGAGGCGCCCGGCGCCCGGCGCTCGCTGTTTTTGTTTTGGACCCCTCTCGTGGAGGAAGGCGAGCCTCCTTTCAACGGAAAGGCATACAATCATTGTCCATCGCTGTTTTTTTTTCTCTGTCTCCTAATAAACATCGGTGTCTTTTGCCAACGTCGATATTACTAGATATTTCTTAGCTTCTCTTGTACTCTAAGTGTAAATTGTGTGCGAATGCAAATAGCAAAATCTCTACAGAACAGAGGCGAAACTTTAACTGGCTAACAATTAAAAATTTAATGTTCGATTGCGATGTCGCGAGATTGTAATATATGTAAAAAAAAAAGAAAAAAAATAATAAAAACAATCGTTGACACGTAAGTAATAGGAGAAAAAGGCGAGCGCGATTCAAACGCGCAAAGGCAAAAAGCCCAAGACAGCAATCAACAGTTCAAAGGTTGACATGTCGTGTGCTATAATTGAGATGACGCTCTCCAATTAAAACGGAATGTTTAGGGGACGCTCTAAAGCGGATCTTTGAATAATTACAGTGAGCCATCTCCGCTACGGGGCTGGGCACGCTTGGCGCAGTCAAACGCGGCACGAAAACGTTAGAAATAAAAAGCTCTCAAAGGGACCGATGTTTGAACTCGACCCTTACATATTAAACGAGATCTGCTCGCTCGGAAAACGGCGTAACATAGAATCCCGACCGCGAGTACGAGTGGTGTCTTTCAGTAAAGTTTTTTTTTAAATTCGACCCGTTTAAACAAACGCATGCTATGTTAATCTGTTATTGAGCACAAAGGCGGCATGCAACACGAGCCCAGTCGAATAAGCTCTTACAGAAAAATATAGAATAAACTTTTACTGACAATTATCCAGCTTGGGGGGGGGGGGGGTCCACTGGCAGACTAGGTTCACGGCGTAGACCCGCTATCTTGAATTTAAGGGTTGATTATAGTTTGTTTGTGAAAACAAACCAAGAGTACCAAAGAGTTCCGAAGGAAAACTGCCAGTGACAATTTCTTCAATGTCAAATCTTAATTCGACTGGGCTACAAACCATTCCACGGTGCGATCGAATACCGACGTTCACACGAGGCATTCTCGAATGACCATTGTGAGGGTTATCAATTTCGAAACCTAAATATCGATGGGTCCTTTGTCTCAATCAGATGGCTAAATTTTAACTTTAAATTTATATTTTCTTTTATTTGCGTAAAATTATATGATTCGTTGGATCCATCGAATGTTCGAATCGAATAAAGAATGTATTTAGTTATTTATATATTGATAAGAAGAGTGAAAACGTATATAAAAGTTAATTTTGACTGATTACAATTAATTATTTTGAAATTGATTTCAAAGAAATATTATGTACAATACATGTTTTTAATATTACTTAACTATATAATTAACAAATAGCTAGTCTTATTCTGTTTATTTAATACTATCATTACCAGTTAGCAATTGCATAGTCTAGTTTATTTAGTATCTTTTAATATCATTTTATCATATTGTGTGTGGGAATCGAACCCATGATTCCAGTTGTCCAAGTTTGTTTCTTGACAACTGCGTCCACCGAATCAACAAACTTAACCTTCATCTTATCTTATGAAAAATAGTACGATTACGTAGTTATGAATATAAAAATATCGTTGCGACAATTTTGGTCAAAATAGTACAACACACTTGTACTTTAAATAAATAAATAAACACACAAGTTAGCCGGTCTAAATTAAAATGTACATAATAAAAACTGTTTGAACTTTTAAAAGAAATCAAGCATGACTCATTCAAGTTACAAATGTTATGTATACATTTGAAGCTCATAAATATTTCCATTCTCATTCGTTACCCGTAGTCTCTGATACTAAATTAATTTTAATAAGTTAGAACATTGGATACTTAATTGTCTATGGCACACTGAAATCGTAATATTTTCATAGAATAAGATGAGAATCGATGGGTACCTATACATCGTTTAATGTCATACGAAAATGTTCCTTGTGTACACTTACATAAGGGCGGAGTTGGGGTAGCCGGTGGGGCTGTACCCTTGCACCGGGAATGGAGGCAGCTCTTCTTCGCTCTCGTGGTAGTTGCCCACCACGCTTTCGTACTCTGTCGGCGAGGTTCGAGGTTCGGAAATACTGACCCATGTTTTTCAAACAGATAATAAATCATTATATCATCATTTGATGACTCCGTGGCACACAAATACCAGTCCCGTGTGGGAATCGAACCCACGACCCCCGACGCCGAAGCCACTAGCTTAGCAACTGCGCCACCATAATTATGGTAAAAGACACAACAAGGATGTTGCAGGCGTGTTATGGAATAATACATTTCAACTGCATACTGCATTTACTTACACACCGGTCTTCTGTAAGGCCATAATAGGTAAACTGGCATTTGAACTGCATGTCTTTTATCACAGCGACAGTTATTTGCGAATTATGCCTGTGTTTTGTAATTGCAAGCTAAAGATCGGTCGTGGCCACGAGTTAGTATTCCGTTCAACGATATTTTATGCTACAAATTTGTTGTTAACGCGCCCGGAATGATGAGACGAAAAAGTCCCCATTGGGACGTTTTCGTCGGTAAATAATGTAGTGCGTCGGTAATCATTAGTAGTACTTCAAAAACTAAACTAGTTTATTATGACACCTGCGATAGTTCAAATCAGCCTGATGTACACGTGCATTATGTGTGTATGGACACGCACACACAAACACACACATACACCGATCTCACACAAGCGCGTCTGCTCCTCCCGTGCGACCACATACATGTAAGTGTGTATGGACACACATACATGTAAGTGTGTATGGACACACATACATGTACGTGTGTATGGTCACACACATACACACCGATCTCACGCAGGCGCTCCTCCCGGCCGTGCGACCGGCGCGTGGCGTACGCACACACACACACACACACACAAACACACACGCACAAACACCGATCTCGGACAACTCACCGCGTATCACGCGCCTCACGCGCTTTATCGCCTCCCCGGAGTACTCGCCGAGCAGCGCGTCCACCGTTCGACCCCTGTTGTCGACCGCGTGGAGATCCGCTCCCTTGGCGAGCAGAATCCGCACAACGGACGCCTTCCCGAAGCACGCCGCCTCGTGCAGCGGCGTGCCGGAGTACGAGCGCACGTTGGGATCGAACCCGGCGTCGAGGAGCGCCGAGACTACCTCCCTGCGCAACGACCACTAGCGTTAAGAGAGACGCCGTCGAAGTCGAGAAGCGGCCAGTTGCAAAAGACCAGCAGTTTTTAAGCCCTCGGGTGTTGCAGGTGTTCGTGGGCGGCGGTAATCACTTACCATCGGGTGAGAATCCTGCTCGTTTGCCTTTTCTCCGTATTAAAAAAAACCCTACGAATTTCTTTATTACTCGTCTCGAGCAGACAGTGTGTCTCATGTTAAGTAATTATCGCCGCCCTCTACAACACCTGAGTGGTAGTGGATGCGTCGAAGGTGGACCCCAGTTACCTCACTCACGAGACGAAGCACGACAGTGTTGTATTGGAAGTATTATTCCACTTAACAACGGTCTTCTGTGATGGCGCGGTACTTCCCCGAACAAGGCCTGCCCGTTAATGCAACAGCACTAACTAACGCGGGTACTATATGTACCACACTTGGCTGATTGAAAATTCCAAGTCTCCAGCTCGTCGGGATCTGTCATCCGTTTTTTTAAACACAATCGTTTCGAGTTATTATGGTGGGGAAAGTAACAAGCTTGTGGAAACTTAACTAAGCTTCATATAATTTACAGACTGAAAGCTCACGCAATCATTGTGTTCATCACAGTCATTGTGACGATGACACAAAGAAATTCACCATTTTTTCATATTTCCAGTCTCGAGTCAGCTTTATGCGCACATAATACATATCGCCTGGGAATCATATGGACACGTGCACATATAACATATTTATTCCTACAATTTGTTTGCCTCAACACGGTAACCGTTTAAAATGAAAGGGTAAACAGGAAAAAAACATTGCCGTTGCTACTACACAGTACCGGTTGATTGAGAGCTGTGCTCATAAAGCAATCCAGCGATGCATATTCATGAAATTCACTAACGAATCCGATCCATACAGCCGAGTCAGTCTGCCCGCCATTCGGTCAACGGTCATTCGCGATTCTGGATGACGGCCCCGCGAAAAATTCAACGCGATATAACTATTCAATAGGGGGATTTTTTGCGAAAACTAAAGTAACATTCCAGTCGCAAATTTAAAAACAAATTAAAAGCGATATGATCTTTTTAGCAATCTGATTTGCGTATTAGTATTGTTACGTTACTTTGCGTAACAATACTCGGAAATAAATATTGCACTATAATAATAAACAATACGGACAGAGTAATAAAATGGATTATTTAACGCGACTTATTCACATCTACAAGTATAATTTTTTCTGCCGTCCATATACAGCGACTATGTTACCACCTGTCACATTTTATAAGTCCATTTATAACTCAATAGCATTAGCACATAGTTATATTTACGAAAACGCAGCGCTTCGCAAGACAAAGCGATTGGAGCGTTATAACGAACGGACGAATATGAATATGAAACGATTGCCCCGCGTGTGTACACATCTTTACATTACCATAAAATTAATATTCCCGCGTAATTTGCGAACGGCACGCGCCTTTACGGCCCGCGACGAGATTCGCTGTAAGACCTCACTTTATTTTTAAAGCACCCAGTCAAGTTATAAGCGTTAATAATTCGTGATAAATTATATTGACCGTTTTCAATATAATTTATCACGAATTTTTTTTTTTTCAGTTATTGTACTGTAGCAAAGTGAATATAGCTCAGTTTAAATAACTATCTAAACCGAGACGAAACATTTCAGCTAAGCGATTGCGAGTTGATAACTTTTTGATAATTACGTCAGAATGTCTAAAACGTGTGACAAGTTAGATTATATGACAACTGTTTCATAGCAAAAAATTAAAAGCGCATCCTTCAGCTTTTCATTTAGATTTGATCGACAATTCTCTACTATCCACTATTATTTAAAGAAAACGCCTAAGATACTGAAGGAAGAAATCCTACCGATGAAGAAGAAGAAGATTGAAGAATCATTTATGGCAATAATCTCGTAATTGTTCCATAGCTTCTAGAAATTACCTGACTATTGATGGTTCAGGTAAACATAGCGAAAAGTAAACAATACTTACTTGTGCCCATTCTTGCTGGCGCGATGCAACGGCGTGGAGGAAGAGAAGATCTTATCTCTGCAACTGGGATACTTGTATGGCTGCACTAAAAGCGGTCTCACTCTGAGCATGTGCTGTACTGTCTCCAACCTGGTAAGAGAGGTCGGTTTGTGATTTTGGACGAGAATGGTCATTATAATAATAATAAATAATAAAATATCTTTATTCACATAGACGCTTGCGCGTTCTTATGAAACGTCAAAATTTTACAAAGAAATTAACACGTTCGTAAGTTACCACCGGTTCGGAAAGCAGTTTCTGTTGAGAAGAAACCGGCAAGAAACTCAACAGTTGCTCTTTTTTTTTTTAAATCAGTTTACAATATACTAGTACAGGTATAATAGTCTTTCATTTTGTTGATTATCTCGATCGGTTCACCAACCGACTTCCAGACGTTACGCTAACAAAAAAATTACTGAGAACCGCCTAAGACGGGAAAGACGGGACAGGACATATCAATTTTATCTAGCGAACTAAGCAAAGCTTGAAAAAATATAAACATAAACTGCAAAAACAAACTTTGCTTGTTGCTACCCGTAGTACAAACTTCGCTTGTTTAGTAACTGATGAACATACTTTTCTTTTGTATTAAACACATATTATAGATTTGTTTTCTTTTTTTTATGCGAAAAGTTGTCAAACGAGCAGACGGTTCACCTGATGTTAAGTGAATACCGCCACCCATGGACATCGGCCAAACCTGAACGCATCTGCAGCGTTGAGAACCTTTTGAAAATTAGGCTCCGGCTACCTCAATCACCAGACGAAACGCGAAAGTATTTGTCATACTTCCACTTTACGCTCGTCTTCTGTGAGGTCGTGGTACTTACTCGGACGAGCCTGCCCATTCGTGCAACAGCCGAGTCTGCCGCGTGGCCCACCGTTAAATCTAAACACCCAAACACTGGAAAAACACTATGTTCATCACACAATGTTTCCAGTCGATTAAACCCACACCCTCTCACATAATCAAGTTCACTATCCACTACTTTACACTATTTTTATTTGGAGCTTTTATTAAATACATATACGTACATAATACTTTAAATATTTAATCTATGACGTGCGATGAAAACTCTTACCCAAGTCACCTACACTTTAAAGCTTCGGATATTCCCAACGGCAAATATGATACATAATTGTCAACCGGCCTTGTCAAACGGTATTAAATATCTACAGACAGGAGAAGATCGCGAGTAACTGATATCCATCGATATACAAAAGTATCGATCTAAAGTCACGATAAAAAATTCTTAAACTTGATGAAGCCCGCAGCGCCGAAAAACAGCAAACAAGCCGAACCTTAATAATAGCAAGTTAGCCTTGCGAACAGAAACTAAAGTAGAATATTTCGTTAGCCAGCGTGCGGCCTAACTTAAGGCTTCGGCTATAAAGTTACGCGAAGTTTCCTTCAGGGTAACTTTATAGCCTAGCCACAGTTTGGCTTTTCGAGACTTGCAAACTTACGTCGTTAAGATGATTTGTATGCTCCCAAAGGATGCCGCGTCCGTTGTGCCACTCCGGAAACAGTTTTTCATTTGATCCGAACGAAAACAAAACAAGACTAACTAGATCATCGTCATCGTGATCGTGATTTCAGCCTGGTCTAGTCCCATAATACCCTAACCCTCCTATAATATCTGTTATAGACTTAACCTCTTATATAAAATAAAAGAAATATAGACCTAACCTCTTATATAAACCTATTATATAGACCTAACCCTCCCACTCCCCCTACCCTGCCTTCGAGACAAACTCTATCCTGAGTCATCAATGGACTTCCCGCGCAGAAGTCAACTCTCCATCGAACGGGGGGTCGTCCTACATTGCAATAGCCAAACGTCGAGCCGATCTTCCAAGTGCAGCGTGGCTCGACCAGGTAACAAACGACTTCTGATAATATTAGAGATTTAATTTAATTTATTGATCTGGAAACACACTACAGTAGATCTTATAGGTCGCAGTGGTCGTAGTCGCTTGGTGCATACTACTCAGCCCCTTCCACGCAAAACTTACCTAGAAACACGGCTTTATTTGGACAGGAGCTGCCACGAAACGCACTGTTGCAACTTTGCACTGTCAGTTAGCACAACCCAGGGCAAAGTAAAGACATCACTACTTCCTCATCCCAGCAAAGGATCACTCAGTGCTACTTTGCTCTTCCTATTTAATGTACTATCAGGGTTGATATCATTAAAATCACGATTGCCCAGAGAACACAAACCAGTTTTCAGACTTACGCGACAGACAGTAGATACAGCCAAATCTTTAAACACGGTCCGAAAAGGCCGAAGACAGGGCCTTTTTTTTTGGTATCGGGGAAAACTTCAAAAGATTCCATATCACCTTACACAACAGGGTTATTTGGGGAGTAGACCCACCTTCCGTACTGAGCGGCCAGGTCGAGGGCGCTCTCGTCCTTCATATTCCTCAGCTCGGCGTCCGCCCCTCGCGCCAGGAGTTGGGCCACCACGTCCACGTAGCCGAACTGGGCGGCTATCAGCAGTGCCGTCTCCTGATCCGAGGTCTGTTTCGAACAAGACAAAATTTATCTTGTTGGTTAAGTTCTTTTTCGATTTTGTCATTGAAAATAGCATGACAATGTTATCACAACGACTATCTCGTTTATTTACTTATTAAAGTCTAATGCGCTCGCCTTTATTTCAATTTAAGTATACTCAAGCAATGAGAGTTCTAATCCCGGTGCCGGCACCAATGAAATTGTTAGTAACAATTTTATATGACACGTGTTACGTGCTCAGCGATGCAGGAAAACATCGCAACCCTGCATATATTCGAAATAATAATAAAAAAATATATCAATCATATGAGGTTTGCTTATGCGCAGTGGGGTCGTGTGGTAGAGATGCCCTAAGACCCTTTCTTTGTATAGAGGTGGAATTTGCCGAGCAGTGGAATATAGCCTATATATTGCTTTACATTAGTAGACGAAGTAATGACACAAGGTATATTTATGCATACACTGTAGAACACAACCGCAACAATTAATTGTGACATAAAAATTTGCCCCCGGAAGATGAACCCACAAACCGCGACACTGAAACCAAAATGTCAACCAATAATGTAATCTCCACGCTAGTCTTACAGCGTATTCTTCACGGTGTGGGTAGTCAATCATTATTTAATACTAGCTGACTCGGCAACCGTGGTTTTGACATATAAATTATTTCTAGGAAGTTTGTGAATGGGAACGCACGCATAAAATGTTTGACGGGTACGAACAGTTCGTATGGCAAAATCAAATTGTTGCTATTTGAAAGAAAGAAAGAAACATTTATTAGGCACATAATAACAAAAAAAATACAATAGATGCTAAAAACTAAATACCAAAATGGTCACCACTCAGCTTTATATCACGAAGTTGACAACCTTCGTGAATGCTGGTTTTCAGTGGAACCTTGGGGTAAGAGTTAGATGGCCCTGCGTAATAATCGTAAAGAATTAAAACAGGATACAATAAAATAATAATAAAGGTAAAATTATTTAAGTCAAATAAACAGTACTTATTTTACCTGCCATGCTTGTGTTCTGTGTGAAGAAGATTTTGTATTTGTGTTATGAGATGGAGCGAGAAAGTGTGTTTGCGTTCGTATTAGTTAAGATAGAGTGTTTCGATTTTCCATGCAGTTTTTCAATAATTTCTCATCGTTTAAACCTTCCCAGGACTGGACCTGCCACAAACATTTCAAAACCAAAATTAGCCAAATCGGTCCAGCCCTTCTCGAGTTTTAGCGAGACTAATGAACAGCAATTCATTTTCATATATAAGAAGATTTCTCACCACAATATATGCATATTATGATGCTGTATATGTTAATTTTGTTGAATTTTGAGTGATAAATCTGTAGACTATTTACAGACATTTTTTGTATTCAACTCCGATTTAAATACACTACAAAAAAACCATTAACTGAGGCCTATTATTATCAATAATAGCCATAATTACTTTTTAACTTGGTTTCTTTCCTAAATGAGATAACCAAACGGGTTTAGTTAAATCATCCCAAGCGCCTGCGATTTTTATTCGGCAATTTCGTAATCAAGCAGGTGCTGTAGTCGGTCGCCATAAAGAAATATTACAATGTTGCTTTAGGTACATGTACAAATTACACCAACCCACGTGAATAACTAAAAAGTACGTAATTTACCCCCCACGTAATTTGTGCAAGTCCGTGGTAATTTTGAATTCCTTTATTACAATCCTGGAACTATAACGCTAACTAACGTATGACACTCGGAAAAGGAGTTATAGTCCTTGCCTTAGAGATATTGTCCTCCCTCATCTCTTTTTTAATTTGAGAATTTGGCAATTCTCGATAACTTATATCGGGTTCTTACGTCAAAAACTGTACTTTCTTAGCGTGACGAACCTTACTGGTACTCAGTTAATTATAAAAATGCCAATAAATAGTAGTAAAGTAAGATATATAGTCTTATCAGCATTAAAATAACAAAGAAAATCAGCCAAACCGCAATTAATTAAAACCAACCACAGCGCAATTTATCGCTCACCTCAGCACGAATCGCGAAAACGCATGTATTCAGAGATATACGGAAAAAAAAGGAAATAAAGTGAGGACCGTTTATATAATTTTTCGATTCGAAATTCTGTGTTATACTATTACTAAGGTTCATGTAAATGTTAGTTTACTATTCAATATTAAGCCGATCACCAAATCGGGTGCAAAAGAACTTAAAACACAATCGCGTTTTTCATCAAAAATAATAGGCACGGCACATCTGATACAACCTTTCACTTTATACATAACTTCCGTTAGACGACAGAAAAATCTATGCGAAGTGCGCGAATGTTTCCCCAAATAACCGGCGGTTCATTATGGCAGAACAATTTGCGATCTGTATTAGACCGTATCGCGATATCTCTACTAATAACTTGCTACAGGTAAAACTTTCGCCGAAAAATTCTGCTCTAGGGTGGCCGAATTTCGGTTTCTGTTCGAACACAATTTGCGGCATCACTGACACTACTTACCCATTGGTCGATGTTGACTGTGGGGTTGTTGTGAGCTAGGAGCATGGAGACTATGTCGGAGTCTCCCTTCCACGCCGCCAGATGGAGGGGCGTAGCGCCCTTCTTGTCCACGGCGCATGGCAGCGCGTCAACGGACAGCAGTAAGCGGACTATCTCTCTGCAGATGATATAACACGTTAGAATCGAACATCTATTGATCCATACTAATATTATAAATGCGAAAGTAACTCGTCTGTCTGTCTCGCTTTCACGCCAAAACTACTGAACCAATTTAAACGAAATTTGGTACACAGATAGTCTAGAGCCTGAGAATGGATATAGGCTATTTTTTAATTGGATTTTTTTTAATGAAATATATTTATTTGAGGGCTTCAACGCGAGCGAGCCGCGAAAAGCTAGCTGTCCTATTATTTATCCAGTAGTCGAGAAGGCTCCGAGTTCATAAAACGTAAAAAACAAAGTTTTATTCGTAAATTAACGAAGAATCGATATGTGAATGACTTTATAACTAAGAGTCATAATAAGTAAGTTTAGGAAGATGAACCCATAAACAGCGACTCTGAAACCAAAATGTCAATAGCGCCAATAATGTAATCTCCACGCAAGTCTTACAGCGTATTCTTCGCGGTGTGGGTAGTCAATCATTATTTAATAGTAGCTGACTCGGCAACCGTGGTTTTGCCATATAAATTATTTGTAGGAAATTTGTGAATCTGAACACATAGAAAAAGAATATTCGGAACGTTTAAAATGCACGCATAAAATGTTTGACGGGTACGAACAGTTCGTATGGGAAAATAAAATTGTTGCTATTTTGATTTTACATGCAATTTGTCCATAAATTCTCATAGTTTAAACCTTCCCTGGACTCCGAGTTCATAAAACGTAAAAAACAAAGTTTTATTCGTTAATTATAGAATCGATATGTGAATGACTTTATAACTAAGAGTCATAATAAGTAAGTTTAGGAAGATGAACCCATAAACAGCGACTCTGAAACCAAAATGTCAATAGCGCCAATAATGTAATCTCCACGCAAGTCTTACAGCGTATTCTTCACGGTGTGGGTAGTCAATCATTATTTAATAGTAGCTGACTCGGCAACCGTGGTTTTGCCATATAAATTATTTGTAGGAAATTTGTGAATCTGAACACATAGAAAAAGAATATTCGGAACGTTTAAAATGCACGCATAAAATGTTTGACGGGTACGAACAGTTCGTATGGGAAAATAAAATTGTTGCTATTTTGATTTTACATGCAATTTGTCCATAAATTCTCATAGTTTAAACCTTCCCTGGACTCCGAGTTCATAAAACGTAAAAAACAAAGTTTTATTCGTTAATTATAGAATCGATATGTGAATGACTTTATAACTAAGAGTCATAATAAGTAAGTTTAGGAAGATGAACCCACAAACCGCGACACTGAAAAGTTCTCACTAAGTTTCTCTTTTTTCATCGCGTTTTTTTTCATATATTTGAAATCACGATGTTTCTATCTACAACTAAAATAATTGAATATCGAAACTTCGTTCAAAAACAAAGTTGCTATCTTTTTCATGCTTAATTGTCCATCTTTCTCAAAGTAAACCTTCCCTGGAGTCAGAGTTCATAAAACGTAAAAAACAATGTTTTATTCGTAAATTAATGAAGAATCGATATGTGAATGACTTTATAACTAAGAGTCATAATAAGTAAGTTTAAGTAAGCTTCTCTCTTTTTATCGCGTTTTTTCATATATTTGAAATCACGATGTTTCTATCTGCAACTAAGACTTAATTAATATCAACTTCGTTCATTAACAAAGTTTATTTTATTACCTTAACAGCCTCTGTCTTAACGTAAGCTTCATTATCAGATCAGGGTAAGTCGGCAGTATCAATATTACATACAACATTTTATATAATATCATGCCAATTATTTACACGCACTGGTGACTAACGACTGACTGAAAACTTGAAACAACTCAGTCTATCCCGTGACAGGGTTCAAAACGTCGGAAATTTAAAAATCTAATTAAAACGCGATAAAAATCCGTAAAATAGTGTCATTTAAAAATTTCAGATAATTTAATTATCGAAAAAAAATTAATCAATTAAAAAAGCGGCACTTTCATACGCTCTCACTGATAAACAAAAATATCGAACATTTTAACGGCCGTTTTATAAAATAGAAGTAAGGTGATATAATTTGATAACTTACTTGTGCCCTCGTAAACAGGCGTGATGTAGTGGAGTGTACCCGTTGTCATCTTGCACATTCACGCCGGCACCCCTCCGCAAACTGGAACAAAACAAAATATTTATTTATTTAACAAGGCTTACCAACTAAATACATATAGAAACAATTATTATTTTGATGAGATGCACTTAAAAATTAAGTTAAACATTGTATATATGCATTTAAATTAAAGGTAAACACAAGATCGAATAAAAGACTTCATTTAAGGAGAACAGTAACCTACAAAACAAGCACTACAATAAAATAATAAAATTGGAACATAAATAAAACCTAACTTATATAAATATGAGAAAACATGTACAAAAAGTGAACGCAGTCGGTAGGATTCGAACCTACGCTCCCAGAGGGAATCTGATTTCTAGTCAGACGCCTTAACCGCTCGGCCACGACTGCTGCTGGCAGATCCCACTAAATTTCGAAAATGTATGTTGAGAACTTATTTATTTGATAGGTAAAATGTGTTATTTCTACATAATTATTTATCACAGTTTTTGTCTTCATCAAATTATATGAGCAACTATTTAAGCTTGTTTGTCGCAAATAAATAAAGTAAAGAATGTATGATGATCGCTTAAAAATTTCTTATATGGAATGTATGCTTATGCCATCTATTGACAATTTGATCAAATTTAAGATAGCGAAGTAGATGAATAGTATTGTGAAACAGTTTTCTTCAAAATAATATATATTTTAATTTATAAATACTTTAATATACAGCATAATTATGTAACTATTCGGTGACTGTTCCTCTGATATAGTACTCTTACTATGAGAAATTTTCGTGCGATTCAACTAGGTAGTTATAAATTAGTTAAAGTTTAAATAGTATGAAACATTCATTATCTGACGTAAGCATTTCCCGTCAGTTTTATTAACGTAACGTTTTGTTTGATTAGTTCTTACAGAACAAAAAAAATATAGAAAACACAACGCGTATTTATTTATCAATTTAGAAGGAAACATCAACCATTTAACATATTGATAGAAAATTAACACAAAATTAAAAATTTATTGCAACACTTAAATTACAGCTTTCTTACAAACTGTGACATAAACCGTTCAAGGAAAACGTTTCATAGCCATGTTTGTCATTTATATCACTTAATAAATATACCCAAGAAACAACAAAAACGAGCACCCAAATTAAGACAAATTCTAAATTCCACGACAACAGTGTCGCGAGCGTATAAGTTAAATACAGTCTAAAATCGTGTGGAATTTAAGATACAAAGTTTTATTTCTTATTCAGACCGGTTGTGAGCGTTAGAAGTCCCAAGACGCTTCTTTCGCTAACCGGTACTATATGTTACGTAATTGCGTCCTAAGGTAACATGTGGACTAAGAGCACCAGACTCAATTTTAGATCTATGACGATCTGATAAAACCTAATTTCTAGACTATAATTCAAGATACTTCTCAGCTTTATTACTAGCACGTCACAAACGTTAAATATTATTAAGTTATATTTGCACAAACTAATTAAGTTGGTTTATTTGTACAGTTATGAATTGTGTTTATGAGAAATATTTTAATAAGCTTTACGCGTTCCCTTCAAATTCGCTTTTCAAACGAGATTTTAGTAGTGATTTCAATACAACTGTCCCTTTTACAATGTTATAAGAAAAAATAAATAATTAGTTCTCACGAATACGGCCTTGACATGGTATTGCCAACGTCAGCGCGCAACGTTCCCGGGTCAATGAACCCTCGGAGACAATGCACCTTCACGAACAAAAATAATCACACTAGAAAAGAGTAAAAAGAACTGTAATCCCAGCAAAATAAAGTTTATTTTCAATTATCGGATTGAGTACCGTTGCTCAATCATAATTCAGCTGTGCCAACATTAGGTTATAGAGCAGTTCCTCTTAGTATTATCATATTAAGTAATTTATTTCTTTAACTTCATGAATACTATTGTTATATATATTTTTAGTTAGGAATAACCCTTAAGTTTATTTTCTTGTTACCTTTTTCAATCAGTATGGTTTGTTTTTTTATTTTTTTTTATTTAATGATGATAGAATCTTTTTGATATCTACAGCAGGAACCAGCTCACAATTCATGAGTGTAAAATTATTTCCGTAAATGGAAAATAAATTATGCATAAATCTTAATTGAAAGCTATTAGTAGGTTTGAGGAAAAACATACGTAATTTATTTATTTTATACTCAAATGCCTCTACCGCTATTAATACAATAATTATTTATCATTTTTCTTTGGTGCAATTTTTCATAAAAGAATTTGTGTTTGTCAAAGTTACTTAGAGATAGATGTCTTAAAATAAAAAGTATATTAATTCCCGGTTTATATAAATCTATAATTTTAAGGATTCGTACTCCGTAAGTTGTTGTGACCTCTCATAAGTTACGATGGGGTTGGCGTATCTTTATAGTTTTATCTATACCCCATAAAAATAAAGATTAAATAAAATAAGTAAGGCTTAGATAACACTTGCAGTGGTGAAAACGAAACTAGAACTTCATTTTTTTTAGATGTGCCTTAAAGTTAGGGATCGATGGTGAAAACAGGCATAAAGTTTTAACCGTTCAATGACCTTAAGAGACCTTAGGGACCTCCGTAACCAGGCCTAGCAAGTTAAGGCAGTCATTCTGGGCGTATAGCATCGAAAGAGGGACTCCAGTTAAACTTCAACTATGTGAGAACATTTTGTACAATGGTACGAGGGAATAATCGCGATATATTATTCCTTAAAGGTGTTATTTGTCGAAACGTGTAGACTTCCACAGGTCTTCATCAAATTTATGATTCATACACCATTTTAAGGATTATTTTTGACGCTATTGAAGGAAACTATAGAAATGAAATAACATTAATGTTTTCATTCAAAATTATGTTTAAAAACTTCTTATAAAAATTAAGGTAAGATTATATACTTATTTATACATTATTAGGTAACTGTTCACGGTACTATGCTAACTTCGAACGGATCAACTAGTATAAAAAGGTTTTACGAAATAAAGGGTCAATGACCCAGTTCCTGATATTTAGTAAGCGTAAGAATGAAAACAGGTCATGAGAAATCATTATCACCAAGGATCTCCGAAACAACCGGAGGATTCTAAGCTTCTTACAAAAAAAAATCAGAAGTTAAACAACAAACACTTCTATTATAAGGCCGGTATTTCGTCGGGCAAGCAGCATATGACTCATAGGAGCAACAAAAGCAAGAGCCGCTGTTCGCCCTACATTATTTCCATATACAACAATGTAGCATAAGAATCTCTGAAAATAATTAAAATGAACTGTCTGTCTATGATTTTGAAATAAATACCGTACGATTTACGTGAAGACTTCTAAAACGGTGATGTTTAATTAAAGATTATTGCCAAACCCGTGGGTTCTGGCTAACCCACCGGTTTTGCGTCAGATGAAGCTTTAATATTGAAAACTGAAAGCAAAAATATCAGTTAATACAAGATACAAGAATTAATTATCGACTTGGATAAATTTTAGATCTTTAAGTTTGAACTTTAACATGTGAATCATGTTGTAAGTTGTTTTGGCTAGGTTTTCCTTACAACCGGCCACCTTCCTGACCTGAACTCTCTTCAGGAACCAAGACCCAGATCCGGAACAATTATGTATAGGTCACACAGAAGGTCGTTGGTAAGTTTTAGCCACGAACTCGTGTGCCGAAGCTAATCTGCTGTATAGCAATGTGTGCAATAAATAATCTTTTTTCCGAATAATACATGGAACGCATTTGCCCTGAAATATAAAAATTTTTGAACGAGTCGGAAAGAGCATGGACCGCTTGGGGATGTCGGCTAAATAAATAAAGAAACGGCATTCAATTAAATAAATAAATAAAGAAACGGCATTCAATTAAAGCGTGGAAGTGCACGCGAGGAAAATTGGCCAGAATGAAGAGTAAATGTTTGCCATACCTTATAAATCCCGCATCGTTTATAATCATCTTTTACATAAATTGCTAGTCGCATGACCTAAAATAAAATAAATAAATAACTGCCTTTAACTGTTATGCTGTGATATAAATTGACATTTACCGTATATTTTCTCGTTATAAATTGGTTACACAGTTCTAAAAGTTACGTCACAGTTACGCCAGAAAAAATACTTCAATAGTAATTCTCGTTTCGAATCAATTGAGCAAAAATACAAACGTTAGTACGGGTATTAAAAAAACTTCGTATTTGATATAGAATATATCATGGGACGGGTAACAAAAAAAAAAAAAATAACCGTCAAAGTATTCGGTGAATCGAATGTTTGCCCGATCTGGGTGGAGTAGACCGACAAAGCGAAATCCTTGAACATTTCCAAGAAGTGCTTGTTACGCCGTTAAAAAGTTTAAGAAATTTTACAAAGTAATTGAAATAGTAAAAAATAAAATATGGGGTTGTTATGACGAAGAAAATAACCTAAGTCACTAAAAAAAAAAAACAAAGTTGTTACAGTCTAATAATATTTAAGTTCTACGTCCATTTTTGGGGTAAATTGGGGTCAAAAAAAGTACTCCGACGTTGACTCGTCACAAAAAACACCGTCATCAACAAAGGGAGCGTCGTACGAGCGATTGAAATTAAACCATAACACCATTCACACAACGTCTAATCTCGTTTGTAGCGGAGTCGCACATGTTGGGCACCTCTCATTGCGCTATCCTACCTGTCGACGTCGAACGCCCTGGCCGTGAGCTTCTTCGTCTTGATCCAGTTCCTCTGCAGCCGGAACTTCACCTCGGAAACGCTCGCGCTCAGTTCCCGTCCGCAGCACCGGACGGTCCGGTCTTCGACACTCATCTCACTATACACTCTCTCCAACACCACGGGACCACCTCGACCATCGAGCGGGCAAACGAGACTAAGTGACAGCCCCAAACGCAAGGTGAGTCATGCACTTTGCTATACAACAGGTTTCGGGAAGACGAGGTCAAAAAAAAAAATCAGTCAACGGCCCACCTACCTGGCGGCCGTCTCGCACTAATTGTGATGTTTCGACCGCGTCCGATTAGATTAGAAAACAACAATGAACAGATTAGATACCGAACTGGCCCAAGGGAATGGTTAGCGCGAATATTAATTTCGTAGTTGGCATACAGTTCGATCTAAAGTAATACGCAACTTGTGCCGATAAAGCAACTAATGAAGGCAAAAGATAATATGTAGGATGCATAATATAAGACAAATATAAATAGTATGATAAGGAAACAGTCGCTTTATCATTCAGACTACCCCGTGATCTAGTGGAGTACACACACATATAATCAGGTGATTTGGGGTATCTTTGGTAAGAGCCTATATATGTCCCACTGCTGGGCAAAGGCCTTCTCTCTACAGAAGGTATGAGAACATAAGTCTCCTAAATCACAGTTTAGCGGACTTCACATATCTTCTAAATATTTTTTTTGTTATCATTTCGATTATATGCAAGTTTCCTCGCGATTTTTCCTTCGCTATTGAGCACGTGATAAATCAGCCCTTAAAATTAACAATTTCATTGGTACGGGCACCGGGTTTTGAACTCAGGTATGTATATTGAATGAAAGGCGAGCGCTCGGACACACGGCTATGTCGGATAGTAATCATATGAATTCGAAACACCTTTTGATCCTATTGCGAGATTATCGCAGCACTTTTACTACTAATATATAAATTTCTCGTGTCACGGTGTTTGTAATTGAACTCCTCCGAAACGGCTCCTCCGATTTTCGTGAAATTTTGTGTGCATATCGGCCAAGGTTCATCATCCCCCTAAATGTTAAAGGTGATCCACACCAATTTTTTTTTATTTTTTTATATAAATTTTTTATTTTTATTTTTTTATGATACAGCATACAAAAATACATACAACCCTAAATTTTCACCCCTTTACGCAGACGTAGTCGCGGGCAGCAGCTAGTTGTTATATAAAACTGTACCTATTTACTAGCAAATAAAGAAACTAAATTAAACTAAATGTTTTACGAATTTTATCGCAAATAATTCATTGATTTTCCGACATTTTGAATACCAAGTAACATCTATGATCCTTGGACGGACGCTATAACATTCTTATAGTTTAACAATGCACACGAAGTATTCGAGTAAACACAAAAAAAAGATGATAGGTACAATAAATCTATTATAAGAGTATAGATGAATTCCCGGAGTCTATAAACCTTAGATAGGAACACCTTTGACAAAGCGTGAAAATAAAAATACAACAGAAAATTATGACAACAGAATGTAATGTATAACTAAACTGTGGTTATGTAATAACCACCGCGTAAAATGTTTTAACACCGAGATGAAATTACAAACGATTAAATTTAAACCAGGCAATGCTTTGCAGACACAGTTGTAATAACATGATAACGCATATGTCAAGAACAACAAAACAACATATTACTTGCACTGGTCTCGGCATCAAGTTCGTAACGATAACAAACTCAGTTATGTTCCTAATACGGGATATGAAGGAAATTCAAATAAAATGTTTTTTCAGTCTTAAAACTTTCTGCTAGTTATAAGTAACGTGTACGATAAAAAATGTATATAAAATGAACCGATCAATAATTCGCAGGAAACGATTACAAGGCATGTATTGTTTCAATTTTGCGAAATCCTAATTAGTTTGAAGTCGTCTCCAGCCGTTAATTATAACAATCAGCTGTATTAGGTATATGCTTACTAAGTAATATTATATACAACATGCATATTACATACAACATTTACGTCATTATGAATAAAAAAATAAAAGACTTCAAACAGGAAACTAAAGCATTGTCAATAACATTTGAGGATTGCCCTCGATTTCTCTGATCCTCCATCATCAGATCTGGGTTTCCTTATCATGGTACCAACCTTGGGTAATCCCCTTTCCAACAAAAAAGAATCATAAAAATCGGTTCATAAATAACGAAGTTATCCCCAATTCGAAACCTTCTCCTTTTTTGAAGTCGATTAAAAACCCTGTCAGACGAAACAAAGGTCGAGTAAATTTGTTTAAAACTTGGCAGCCTAACAGAAGAACAACGCAGGCCAAGCAGTTTTAGTTTAGGGATTTTGGCGAGTAAGGTAACCGAGGATCCATAGGTACTCCAAGTTCGTTAGCAACGCGCAGTTATCTGAATGTTAATTGACGGCAGTAATCACTCACGACAAGGTGAAACAATCTGCCACCATTTCTTAAAAGAAAACAGAAGACACCATATGTATAAATATTTTAAGTAATAAACGTCAGTTTCGTTAAATTTTTTTTTTTTCTCCAAATAATATGCTTCACTCGCGTCTATTTGCGTTGGTCTATGACTCAAAATACCACGAGTGAAACAATACGTCATAAGTTAAAACAGGTTTGTCGGTTTCGGGAAAACCGTCGGTTGTCAAACGATGACCGTTTACTTCGTGTTACGACACGTTCCACATAATTATGTAGATTTAACGGTTCCGTCGACTTTCGTTATTTATCATCGTCGGATAGAATAAAAATTAAAATATACAAAATCGCTTGCACACCGCACACCTTCACAGGCTTAATCGATGGGTGTATTTGAAAAAAAAAAAAAAACATTTTAACAGACATATTTTTGAGTCCAGACGATTTTTTTCTTTTATCTCATATTTTTCTTTCAAGTTCCTTCTTTTGCGCGAAGAAAAATCCGAGCAAAGCTCGGTCATCGAGGTATTAATTATTACATAATAAAAGATATCAGTTACCAGTAAAAAAAAAGGAAGTAAATATATAAAAAACAGTATACCATTTTTTATTATGAAAACGATTAGGACCAGTTGCAGGCAAATTAACCGGAAACATGGTAGATTTTACGAGTTGCGAAGTAATCACAGGTATCGGAGCGAAGTGGCGCTGCAGAATAAATTTTATCTGGTTGACCTCAAGGTCATTCGCCTATATAAAAACGAGCCATCGCATAATTCACTCAAAATAAATAACGGAGATTATCAGATTTATTCTGTAATTATCACATTTAAGAACATAAACGGTACCGTCAGAACATTTCCCATGCTGTGTTAAGAGTAAAAAGTAATTGTTGGAATAGATCGCCCGTTTGACTTAGTGAATAGCTTCTGTAATTGTAAGATGTAAGAATTGCAAGATTTCCGAGGTTGTGGTATGGAATATAATAACATTAGGACTAGACTGTAGAATACTGATGATTTTTAATTTAGAAAAAACCGAAGAAATCAAGTTCACCGTCACGAAATATATAGGATCTCGTTACGTTGAGAATTTAAAAACAAAACTAAATACCTACGTTAGTATCCGAAATGAACTTTTATTTAACCGTGTGAACTATTCTAATAAATACAAAAAAGACATTGTACAGGTACCTATATTTTACTTATACTTTTATTTAGACTGATGTTTTTTTTTTTATTTTAATCCATAGTCTATTAAAGCTTCATAAGAAACAGAGCCCGGGGGGCAGGCAGATCTCACTGCGCTTTTGGAAAAATCTCACTATAATATTGCTAGTAGATTATGGATACATGAAAGCGTAACTTTTTTTTGAAGGACAAAAAGGAAGACTGGCCGAATCTTTGGTATCATGTAATACCGATTTATCTGTCTATCTAATTACTTAACATTGGTTACTATTATTGGTTATAGTATTAAATTACTTAACCTTTAAGAGAACGACACTACACGTTGATTCAATACCATTGTGACAATACAATTGTACAATAGTAAAAAATATCAACCTTACAGAATAAAATAAAAACGCCTAAACTAAAACGTGTACGGTGAAACAGCAGCAGAACTAAGAAATGAAACCCGGGAGCAAGTTTTGGAACATACGCTGACTGGGTCACAAGCAACCATAACATGAGCAACGCGCGCAGTATCAAAACATAAGGGTAAAACAATCAAACTTCCAAACTTGTAGCGATCATTCGGCCATATGTCGGTAACGATTGTTTCGGCCCGAGCCAATATTTCAACACTCAAACTTTGTCCGTACTTTGCCCGTTACTGTTTGCGTGGACAGACCAAACCAAGTATTCAATATTATTCAATAAAATTTGATGACTTCGTGGCGCCGTTGTCAAGGCTTCGCCTCCGGGCATTGTGGGTTCGATTCACACACGGGACATGTATTTGTGTGACTCGCGGAAAATTTTTTCGGATCTGGGTGTTTGTCTACGTGAAATTTGTTTTGATACGCTCTTACAACACGGGATAATGTTATCATACAGTGAGGACAATGTTTTTTTAAAAGAAAAAAAACTTTATACCCAATTCCACGAAGACTGGGTCGACGGCACTGTCTCCTGTATAAACTTTAACTGTGAAAAATTTCATGTGTGTCTGTATGGAATTTGGTGCAGTTAAAGTTTGATGTGATCTGCATTAGTAGACAAGAAATTAAATAATTAAAACAAATCATTACACACTAAGATGTGTTTAACATTCATAGTTTACGTTTATACCTACTGTAAATACGTAATAATCTGTGGGCAAACGGTAGCACAGAGTATATATTGCCGGCAAAGAATTCAAAATAGCAATTTCATTGAATGAGTAGAAAAATAACCAACCCTTCATTCAAAATTTAATGAATTACGTTCGAATTTCGACCAATACGCGACTTGTCTTTACAAACGAAAGCTCTTGGACCATTCGTCCGATTGCGATTCTACTTTGGTGAGTTGTAACAAAGATTTAAATCGACTCAAATCTAATCTACGATTTAAATATTTTAGTTGTTCACCTTACGCCCGTGAATGATCCATGTCCAGAAAAAATGTTCTTTGTATGTTTGTCCTCGACACAAAGTCAGAGTAAAAAATAAAGGTTTGCAACGCACGCCATAAGGCCTGGCTAGGCTAGTCTTTACATAGTATAAAACAAAGTCGGTCCCGATGTTTATACGCTTAGTACTTTTAAACTACCCAACGGATTTTAATACGGTTGTCAGCAATATATAGTGTTTTAATAGGATGGTTTATATGTAGTGTACATGCAAAGTGTGCAGTAGAGAAAAGCTGAGAAATTCAATTTCAACATTGCATACGTGCAAAGCCATGGCGGTCACCGAAGTCGCTAATGTTATATAAATAGGTCACACATGGGTGAATAATTAAATAGGACCGTTGTTAAACTAATGACGATGAAGTTGACATTATAAAAAATTGTACTGTTATTTCACATAGCGGTAGAAATCAGAACACTTTTATCAGAGAACTAGTGACCCGCCCCGGCTTCGCACGGGTGCAATGTATTATACATATAAACCTTCCTCTTAAATCACTCTATCTAGTAATCAATTATTACAAAATTACAAATATTGACATTAATATTTATACGATACTGACGTCACTCAATTGTTTTGCCTTCCCGGAACCCCTCCACTAACACTTAAACTTTATGGTATGGTGTTAAATTACCTACTAATCTTTTGTATGAGAATATAGTAGTGTTGTTTTTAGACCTTTTCAGGCAATTTTTTGAATTTTTCTCATCGTAAGAACCATCGTAGTACATCAAGGAATATTATAAAAAAAGAATTAGCGAAATCGTTTCAGCTGTTCTCGAGGTTGGCCCTTAGCAACACATTCAGCGCTTCATTTTTTGTATATAGATCACAATGTTAAATAAAATAGTTCATGTTACGCCTTGTTTCTTTCTTTCTTTCTTTCAATAATTACTTCCTTATTTTTATATAAAAAACGTCTTAATAATCATTTTAACAACTGTTCCTTGTCGTAAGACACTGAAGGAGGTATTCAGTGGTGTTGGAGGTCATGTTGAGCATTTAACTAAGCCCTAGTTTTATTAAGACTAAGCTACATTAATTACAAATAACTACATTACTTATCACTACATTTGAGAAAGATTCTACTGATCATATCTCATTTTCATTCGCATTATGGTCGTCAAAACCACGTAAATACAAGAAATTCACTGAACATCTTGCAATAAAGTGCTTATACGGAGAGTGTTCATCATATGAGAAACACTCAAACTCACCTCAACTTCAACTTCAGCTGCCAGTACAGGTTGCTCTCGTTACCCGGGTAGGGTATTTTAAACTTCATCTCCGCTATGCCCCCCACTTCCACGTAAAACCTCGATATCGATAAACCATTCACTTCAACCGGTGAACGAGAGCGGCGGACGCGGTGCTAGTGATGCGCGTTATCGTTCATTCTCCGGTCGAATATCGTTCCGAAATATCCGCTGGAGAGTGAACCGCGCGTGGCGACTGTGGCTGGTGACTAACCGCGGGCGGTGGGCCGTTTCGGATGAATCACAGGGACCAGGCCTGCTTTGCTTAGAGCCAAGAAATGTTGCGGTACATTTTTTTGCACATAACTGTTTCCGCAAGGCTCGGAGGAACTTGCTTAATTATATCGCTAGTTCTGATTCTCACGACGCAATTTATTATGAAATTATACATCACAGCAGCTATAGCGGATGGCGAGCTCAGCTCGTTCAGTGTCCTTTTAAAAATGGAGCGATCCGAGTTCAAATCCCGGTGTAGGCACCAATGACATTATTACCTGCAATTTTAAGTGCTAACTTAACTAATATCCTATATACAGAGGTGACCATTGCCCAACAGCGGGACATATATATATATATATATATATATATATATATATATATATATATATATATATATATATATATATATAGGCTGTTACAGTTACTAAAACTTATGGGTATGGCTAAACTGACCATACGTCCCGTTTTCAACGGGACTGTCCCATTTCTCGGACAGCTGTCCCTTCGTCCCTAAACAAATCTTAGGGACGCAAAATTGTCCCGTTTTCTGAAACTGCGTGAAATTTTAAAAGCACGCTCGTCAGACATGACATGTTTTTCTTTCAATTTGATCAACAATCTTGTCATTTGTTTCTTTCAATAGGTTAGCCACATGTATTCTGACTTCTTAATGTTTTTGTGTAATGTTCGTTAAATAGTTTTGTAGATAATTTGAAGTTTTGTTGTGTTGAAATTTTTCCTAAAGTTATGCCGAAACCCACTTGTGTTTCGTGTTCATTTAATGCCAACCTACAAACAAAATACCCAATTATTAAGCAAATAAAGCCTTCGGATGTCAGATGCGAAAAGTGTCGCACATTTTAATGATTCCCATAGTGGTGCTGGTGATATTGAACAGCTCCAGTTCTGAAGGCAATGCTGATAACAAAGGTAATAGTAATTACTATTTAAATTATTATACTTATTTTAAATCGTCACCTTCTTTATTAAAAAATTTGTTACTCAGAAAAATATAAATATATTTAAAAACATACCAATGTTGTTTTAAAAAAAATAGTGAACTGATGATTTTTTTCTTCTTTTTTAATTTTTTCAGAATAAATAAAATTAAAAAGTTCTGTTTATTTTCATTGTAATGCCCCATTTTGAGTTAGAAAAAAAGTGGTCAGTTTGGGTTTGGCGTATAGTATATTAATGTAGCGTATAGTATGTGTATAGTATGCTGCATTAGAACAATTTAACGGTTATAGAGATGCGTGTAGAAAATATCAATGGTTGACAATAGTTCTGCGGAATTTAATGTTGTGAGCGACAATGGTTGGCGACTCGTTTATTTGATTCGTTTATTTAACATATGATCTAAAATCAAAAAGTAAAACAGTCTCTCTATTCTGCGTATTGACAAATGAAGATAAATAAACCAAGGCGAATGCAATGAAACCGAATATTTCTACCGCCAATACAACACAACTGGCAGACACGACAGATTCGTTTTCGAGTAAAACTTGAATTTATTAATTGGAGAGAATTGAAGTCGGTGGGCGCACAATAGCAGCATAATGCGAGACTGCTTGAACTAGTTCTCAGAATGAATAATACAATGAAACTGTATTATGCCGATCGTTTGAATGGGGCTCGGCGCTGTAGAATCAATGTTTTATTAAACAAAATTGATTCTATTTTCAAACCACGTGAAAAGTTGCCAAGCGAGCAGACGGTTCACCTGATGTGAAGTGAATACCCCCGAGGGTTCCAGATGCGTTGACAGCCTTTTTGAAAATTGAGCTCCGGCCACCTCACTCACCAGACGAAACGCGAAAGTATTATATTTCCCCTTTACGCCGGTCTTCTGTGAGGTCGTGGTACTTGCCCGGACGTGCCTGCCCATACGTGCAACAGCCGTGGCTGCTGCGTGACCCTAACACCGTGTATAGTATATAATAATCTATAAATCTAACATATATATTGTGTCATTTTGAGAAGGAGCTTAAAATAAGAAAAAATCTCCTGAGAACACCTCTGACCCCAATTAAACAGCAACTTCTACATGGAGTGTAAAACTGTCATATATGAACGCAACGACCCGATGAACTGACATCTGACTACATTTTACCCATGGCTTATTTTAACAAAAGTTGGCAATACCTCTATATTCCCTCAGGAGTTGTAGATGTCCGTAGGCGGTGGTAATCACTTAACATCAGGGGAACAACGTGCTAACTTGCGAACTTTTAACATAAAAAAAAGAAACTACATACACTATCCGACTACTACACAACTTACTCTTAAATTCTCGCGTCTTTATTTAAAGATTATCAAAAATCATAAATTATTTTTGTTTTTAAATCATTCATATGCAAACGACCAACCCAATATAATCAAATTCTATGTTTAACTCTTTCCACGTATTTAAAACTTAACCTATAACTACTCAAAAATATATTGATTTCCGTATCTAAATGTGCCTATATTAGTTGACAATCTTCCCAGAAATCCAACGGTCGACACAGGTTGTCCTTATCTGCATATTTAGGCGACAGATAAGCAATATGGTATGTCAAATAGGACGTTTTTTTAAAGATTTTCTGTGGGTATTACACAGTAGATAAGAGCAATTATTTAATAGCACGATACGTAAACTTGCGAAAGATAATACTTTTGCGTCTAGGTGACACACGGACAGACAGATGGACAAGAGAGTGATCCTTTTTTTTACCTAAAGGTACGGAACCCTAAAAATACCTACTACATATCTATAGATCCAAAGCGGAAACTATTAGAGATAATGTGGAATGCTGGTGGCACTGGATTAATTTTCCACACTTAATGTTTGTAAAAAAGTGACTTAACAGCCTTCAGTGAAGGCGAGTAGCAACAATTTATACGGTACATACTTGCAAAACGAAAAGTTAATTCTCAGCCACCAAATATTATTAACGCTAGGCAGCAAAAAGTGTAAATGACCCACCGTTAACTCAGGTACCGTTACATGACCTATTGCCATAGTACTCATGGTACATAGTGTACTCGTCGTTCAAATCCTGAATTGTTTCGACTAGGATAACAAATGTTCAATATAAGCCGATTTATTGTGCGAGACTTGCAAACAATACTGCAGTTTCTCTAGTGTTTGTAAGAGACTAATTAATATTAAAGCTCAGCCTGAGTAATTATTTGCTAAGGCTTGCAGAAATAGAACAGCGCAGAAGGTAAGTCACTTCTTCGTTAGAGCCGGCTCTCAACGGCTGCTGTTGCATGAATAATAAGGCTTCACTCGAAGAGCCATTGAAACTGCGAAGGTCAACATTAAAGTGTTTACGGCCTCTAAGTGTAGCGGAGGCCTAACCGTTGTGGAGCCACACTGCGCGGATTGGTCGGTCAAAGACCTTAAAGAATTTTTAATTGAGGTATTCATACTTTTGCAATTTCGTGAGGGAGGTAAACGGTACGAGATCATGCGAAAGCGAGTTGCAGTTACGAACTGACCTTATGACATAGAACTTAACGCCACGAGCTAAGTTTAGATTAGCAATATATAATAAAAAATTTGGGGATTTTTCTATACTTAATTTTAGATGTCTATGGGTGGTGGTAATCACCTAACGTCAAGAAATTATCCATACTTTTAACACACAAAATAGCTGTTTGTCTAGACTTTTTAAGATTATTTTCACCCATCGGGAAAATTGGTTCCGTCAAGATAAAGCAAATGCTGACCATCAAATTAAACGAGCCGCACATCAGGTAATTGGTGTCAGTTAACTCAACTGATTCTACGTACTCTAAGAGCCTAATTGGACTTAGCAGCTCAGAGGTCAGGGTCGATACAAATCCTTTTATAATCAAAAAGCTAAAGGAAATTTCTACTCGAGGAGAACTTTTCAGGTCATAACTACACACGTTTTTTTTTTTATGATGAAAGTACTTATATTCCATAAATAAAGATACAATTAATAGTAGGATTCTATAATGCGCATAAAAGAGATAAGATTAAGTTATACTTGAAGAGCACAGAACAAAATAAATTCCGACAATCGTTCTATTGACTTAAAACATCGTATTGTTAACGAAACGGACCGAATCGTTAGCACATCGTTTGAATATTCATAAGGGTAACAAGCCTCTATCGAGGCAGACTCGTAAATTACACAAATAGAGCATAAAGCTCCACTTGTTCCACAACATTTCTCCGAAACATATCGTACCATGTGAAAGAAAACGTAAACATTACACTTTCGTTAACCGATGAAGGGTTACTACGAATATAGGCCACATGTGTGGCACGAACTGCGTCACGAACCATCGAATGTTCTTGAATCAAATGAATGAGAATTAATAAAAATATTGAGGTGCTTTAGAGAGTAAAACAACACAAGTGATGGGATAAAACCCATGCAGTTTCAAAGGTATTGCTCCACCCTAATACAAGTGAAATCAAAACAATGTTAACAAATAATTGAATAACGTAAGTTATTAATTAGAGAAATTCAAAAACCTATGTGTATTTCAAAAGAAAAACACATTAAATAAATATGCTTAAATTTTTATAGTATATCGACGTATATAATATACGTATATAATTAACATTAATAAAGTAATAATTATTAATATAATTAAGTGTTCTTAGTGCTCTTAAGCCTTCTGTACAATAATAAAAACCATAAACTGAATTTCCAACGGGACTCAGTACGGGTGCGATGTCTGTGATGGTAAATCAAAATCAAACAAAACTGATGTTACATTAAAATCTCGTTAACCAACCACCATCAGGATAAAATCGACACTGGCTTGCGTCCAAGACGGAATAGCGACTTAAAGACCTCCCTTAGGTTGCCAATACAAAGTTTCGACAGAGCAAAGTTTTACTTCAAACTGAATTCGAGTCGATTCATGAACTGTTACGAATTAAGAAAGGTTGGTGCACTTGTCGGTACAGCATTTTCAATGTCATTCGTTGGGTTGGGGAAAAATAATAATTTAAATAACAGACTTAAAACAGAAAGAGACATTAATATCTAAGTTAATGGTAATACGTCGTCGGGAGTCGACGTTTAGTTCAATGAGCTGGACCGCAAACACAAGCAGTACATAACGTGTGTATGTAGTGTATATGCGTCTTTGGATTTTGCGTTATTTTTCCTCGTAGCACATAGCAACTACATTCTAGTGTGAGGCCATATCATGGTCAACGCCAAGTCTATGATTCCGACATTAAAAATAAAATGCCAGTTTAAAATACTATACCTATCGATAAATCGTACAATTGAAACATAATAAACCTAGTTTGTATTTTCCGTTGATTCTTAGAAACCCTTCATGCATAGAAAAAAAGATTCATAAAAACCTGAGTTTCCATGACATTTATATTTAGATAACGCCTTTGCATACTTTTTATTATAACGAAAATAACTAGTTCTTCAACTGTGTGTGCGGCTTCTTTATATCAATGTAAGTATATATTGGGAAGTAGGAACTATATAAATTAAAAGTATTTTAAATAAGTATATCATACATTTAATTAGAATTGCAAATGAATTTGCTATGGCCACGGCGCGTGGAATTTAGTTGAACGTCCAAATAATGTAAACAAAAAAGTCGAGAACGATAAGCACTAGGGGCTAGTGCTTATCGTTCTCAAGGCTAAAATCAAAAGTGTCAGTGTGTATCTCGAGTTTTATGAAATTTCATCTATATGATGAATTCTAGGGGTTACTATCGATCCCTGATGATTCATGCGCCCGTGCTGTCTCTTTTCTCGTAATGAGATGACGCAACCTTGACAACGATTGGATCTCACCAGAGCCGGATTTAGGTGAGGGCAATCGGGGCTTCGGGCTCGGGCTTCTTTCTCCACAAAAGAGACTTCGGAAAACAAATTTCAAATTCAGACTAGTAAACAACTTTTCCTTTCATATTTTTTCTCGCGTTTTACCTACAGTACTTAGTACAAACATGATTTCATTAAATACTGCCTCCATTCATTTGTTGCACCGAGGCCTGCAGGCCTCTAAATCTGGCACTGGATCTCAAGCTTATATTAGCGTATATTCACTCTTCTTTTTCTTCTTTCTCCTAAGCATTACTCCCCTAAAGTGGGTTCATGACAACATGTCAATCATGCTGTTAACGGTGTTGGCTAGGTTTTTCACGACCCCCGCTTACGGCCGCCTGCTTGACGTGACCCCTCCATGGGAATAAACACCCTGATCCGGAACAAATATCCGTGGGTCACGCAAATACTTGTCCCACCTCGAACCCACTATCACCGGCGCTGAGGCCAATAGTTTAGCTACTGCACCACCGAATCATCTCTCCTATTTCAGTAAATTGTCCAATCATGAAAAATTATCACTGGTGTCTAAGTTAGGACGAGTAGTTGGTAATCTTTAATAAATTTCGATGAAATACAGCCGGATCACCCGGATCTCTCCGCAGAGAGAATTATGAATATCTATGGTCCGCACCATAGATATTCATAAAACGTATTGATTTCTAAAAGCGTTCCTTTCTTTATGGTCCTTAAACGACATTCGACTATTGACTGCACAGTCATTCCAAAAAGTAATAGTGCGGCCACGGCTGACAATACAAAATAGTAGTGCAGAAATTACGTCCAAAACTAGATAAGATGACAGTAAAAATTATGTGAAATAGAAACGTCGACTTGTCGACTGGAGCATACAAGCGCATACGACATTGGAGTCTCAATTATAATTGCATATTAGTTTTAAATCTTCGTTTTTTTTAAGTACCAAAAAGGCGTTGCCTTAAATAAACGACAAATGGACATTACACTCGCCTTCAATAACGTTCAATCGGGTCGGAAAAACAAAACAATACCCTTCTCAGTCTACTCCGGTGGGTGAAACTGTTATATTTCATTCGCAGAGCATAAAATAATAGACTCAACTGTCCCCAATCTTTAAGCTTCTAATGCTTTAGTTTTTCCACCACCAAACACCGAATGAATGTTCAACACTAGCCAATCCGGGAACGTTGTCCCCACACAAAATGCGGTGCGACTATACTCGCGGCCCGCGCGCCGTCCGCAGCAAATATATGCAGGCTGCGCAAAACTGGTCAAGTGCACGCCATGCATGAGCACCGCGGCTGGTGAGTAGGATAGGTGCCGACGACGGACAGAAGGCCAAAAGTTCAACGCACCGTGGCGTCGATTTGCTTTCTGGCCCGTGTCCAACCACCTCACTTTTATGGGTCGGGCTGTACCAACTTCCTTAAATAGATAAACGATTGCCCCCTCGTTTTTGGAGAGTCGACGCTTTCGCGAAGCCATCTTCGCGGCGACGGAGCGTGCGTTAAACACGAGACATGAGCTCGATGAAAATATTAAACGAAATTTAAGAAACGTGATGTATCCGATTGGTGGAGCTTTGTTTTGTATTCATACCGCATAAACAGTTGCACGATATGAATAATATGAGGAACATTCAGGTCCTTTGCGATGCTTATCACTTTTAAATGGACATAGACAACTTGAGCAAGAACAAAAAGAGAGTATCGTGATTTTAGCATGTACGGGGGACCACAGATTGGTTAGTTTCTTTCAAAAATAAGACATCGTTCGAATATTAAGATACAGAGTACATAACAAAGGTGGTTTAAAAAAAATACTTCAGAGCAGGGTCGTATTTATAAAAGGCATCGATGAGTAAAAAGTTCCGCGATAATCAACCTTAATGAAAGTACCAACAATGCAAGTGACGTGACATGGTAGGTAAAATAAAACTTATTATTCATTGTTCTCACTTTGGCATTAGGCGGTATTGAAAGTTTTCCATTAGCAAAGTTTTTCAATGACAAGTTATTGATTGATACGAAAAAAAATTTACTAGTGTGACATGAATCAAAATTTGTGAATGGATAATCTAAATACATTTAAACACAAAAATCACAAGAACATAATTAATTTTGTAGCTATATAATTAGTTATGTAATAAATAGAAAATTGCGTTACCTAAGATTACTCATTCGTATTATAGTAAATATTTTAAAAACCATATTACATCTATTAAGTATTAACCAACACACAAATATTTGTTTGGTTTTGTAAGCATCATTAATCTTGAGTTCCATGAGATGTATTGTATGTGAGTTTCACAAATATTCTGTAAATCTAGGAGCACCTTTGTAAAAAAAATTCCTTATCCACATTAAGAACCATGAACTAAAACTCTCCTAAAATAACTTAGTTAATGCAGCCGTTCCATTTCTGAAGGTAAAATGGACAAGAAACCACGAATAAGTACGATAAGACAACGAACTGATATGATCGTAAACATTAAAAATAAACTAACTTTACTGTCGCTATTTTCTTATTATCACTTTTTAAACTTGACTAGCTTGTTCTGTGTCTTATAAGGTTAAGGAATGTGAAACAGGAAAACTATAAAACTCTTCAATTTCGTCCTTATTTCGCAAAACATGAATATCACGTACCTTGTAAATGGACCACTCCTTTTAGTTATTTGACCAAGTATTTTCTCGACAGTCCGCCTGTCGCCTTCACGCGCCGCGTCTAATAACTCCTGGCCTCTTCCCATGGCCCATTTATTGGTTAATACCACACACAAAACTAACACAGAGTTCGATCATTTCAATTTATTACACTAGACTTCACTACACACTACAACTTCATTGATCGTGCCGCCATATTTAGAATTAGACGTGAGTGCGCTCTAGCGGCCAACAGCGGAATCGATATCGAGATGCTTACGAAGTCGGTCACATCAAAATTTACTACGTACCTACCTACTGACATATACTTTTTAATAGAATGGAAATGCAAACATTATAGACATACGGTACTAGTAAAGGTTGAAAGATATAAATTAAAGAATCGTTTAAATAAAAGACGATACTGTAATCAATTTCAACATGTTAATGTTCCGTACGAGATGATAATAAGAATCCACGAAATCTGCCCTCTTGCTTGCACTTATGAATACGGTTGTCGTTCCATTTCTCTCTGTTACGTTTCATTCGTTCATACAGTCTTTCCATTCAGTCTTCAACTCGCTCTAAAATGACTAAGTGCCGTTCATTCCTATAATTATGTTTTATTTATCTCATAAAAATACGTTTAAACTCATTAAGTCTCACTTAAGTAAAACTCATCCATCATAGCCATACGTGATTTCGAATTTGCTAGAAGTTAATATAGGTTGCTTGCTGTACATACATAGGAGTTTCCCTCAATTTTAAATCTGTCAAGATGAACAGCTGATTAATATGACAGTTAATACAAGCATAAAAATAAAACACATCTATGTTAATAGTGATGTGATAAACTAAGTGACAATCAATAAAAACCCTTCAAAATGCTTGTGAATTATTTTAATTACATTTTTGTTATTCTTATGGTTATATCAGCCGTAAAAGTCAATACACAAAGTGAGTACCATGTAGTGAGTAGATGACAATCGTTTTATATACCCGAAAAACATTATTTTAAGAAAAATGTTTACAAAAACATTATGCTGTAAATAGATATTGTAATGTAGATATTTAATGTAGATTTTTTAAATACCTTGGTTACAATATAATAACCAAGACAGGTACTTAAAAATTTTAAACTTTTCTGTTTTAATATTGTTAAGACAACTCCATAATGGAAATTATTTAGCATTTAAACTAAGTATGTGCAATCCAAAAACACTGTACCTCTATGCCTATGTTTTTTGGTTTAATGTCCGAGAAGGGTGGAACATTCAATTAATATATATATATATATATAAATAAATGAGGATTGAAGAATTTGGATTTTGATTGACATTCTCCACTAGTCAGCCAGAAACCATTTTGTTAATATGAAATCTGTTGTTTTTATATCATATAACTCTTTTGACAAAGAGTTAACGGAGTATTGTACTGAAGGATATCATATAATTAAATTTAACTTTACTTTTTATTCATTAAGTTTTATGTATTTTCATTACTGTCATTTGTAATACTGCTGTACTTATATTTTGAATTGTCACTTTTTTTCCTTTTAAGAAAAAAAAAGTAATCTTATATATGAATTGTTTAATTGATATATAATATTTCACACAAATATCCTGTATGACAAAGTATTAACAAATTTATGTATTATTTATACACTTTACTTGATAACACGACTGAATCAAAAATATTGATGCAAACTACCCAAAATATTGCTGGATTACATGTATTGTTTTAATTTCAGATATAACAATATCAGTACCTTTAAACAAAACTGTTGATATTTCAAACAAAGAAGTATTTGGAAAATTTATTAATCTTAATGCCTCATCAACATTGGAAGTTGGCTTTGTAAATGTTACAAAGTCAATATCTTTCATAATATTTCAAGTTCACAGTCACTTGTATAATGTAACTGTATATAATAATACATTAATACGAAGTTCATCAGTTTACGGCACCAATGTCGGAATGTATAGTTCTGTAAGACCTGCCTTGGACAAGTTTTTTGTTAGTAATCAAAATGCAGTTAATATTAAACTGTACATCTCAGTACATGGATATGGCATTAAAGGTATGTGCAATAAAATCGAATAGGTTATTTAAAATAAATTGTTCCGTATATTATATTATATTATATTATATTACAATAATTAATTTTTTTAAGATCCAATACCAGGCGGTTGCAATATGGAATATTCAACCGCCCATCTCACCGTATATGCAAAATTCATATACCAACGACTATGTCCTTATTGAAGCCGCTTCAGCAAGGGACTCAGCAGACCCCACGTGCACCTCCATAAACAATGTTGCTGTAGTCTTTTACCTTATGTACTTACCAGAGAGAAGTTTTGATGCCGATACATACTTCGAAGGGATTAGGAATATGATAACTTTGGGGAATATAACGGAGAATGGACAAATAGTAAGTTTATTCAATGCTCCCTATTTGATTTAGATATATTTATATAAAAGATGTCATGACAACAGGTGTGTGAAGGAATAGGTGCACATTTAAAGAATTTTAACTACAGAGACAATTGGCAGCTTCTGCTATTCCATGTACCGCACACCAAAAGAAAATGGCCGTAAACTTCCCTTGAGTTAGTTCACCATGACCAATGCTCTTACAGGCTATCAATGTAACTGCTATTTCATGGGTGTTATAGATTTTTTTTTACCTTCTCCCTTATTTCGATGAGAGTGCATATCGCACGCATTTGCAACAACTGACAAAGGCATACACCGAAGGAACTTAATCTGGCTGGAAATTATTCTGGCTAACTAACTTAAAATATCTTCACATCCCATTGAAATAACATATATAAGAGCCATTTGCTTAATTATAAAATACTTCAGTAGTGCATTTTGTCATGCCGAAATAAACAATATCTTTATGGATTAATGGAAAGGTAATTTGATCAACTTGTTATTACCATTAATAGTACACAAGTAATACCAGTCCCGTCTTTAGATGCACTTTAGCCATACCTCATTTCAATGTAATATTGCCAGAGACACAAAACAGTTACAAAATGTAGTTTAAATATCTAGTTAATAAACTAAACAGCAATTGTGATATGAGGTGGGGTCTACCATTATCAAAGGAATTGTTATTAAAATAGACTTTGTTTTATTAAAATGACGACAATCACAGTACTGTGTATGCAATCATTTTTCTTTGTTGGCGACGGATACTCGAAACTTGTTACTGATTAAGAGTTCAGAACCTGTTGCCCTACAACAATATATTTTTTGATTGCGCATAGGCCGTTAACGCTGTCTAGCGCGTCACGATAGAAGGTTTGGAACATTTAATACTTATAAGTATTTTTCAGCCAATTAAATTCAACTTATTATTATTATATATACTTTATTGTACACCACAAAGAATTTAATACAATTAGTATGAAATAAGTCTTAAAAACTAGGTACATTAAGGCAGTCTTATCGCTAAAAAGCGATCTCTTCCAGACAACCTTAGAACGAGGAAATAGTGGGTGGTGGTGTGCTTAATAAATCTTAATACATATAGACTTAAATATAATAAAGTAAACTAAAATTACTACAAAACTAAAACTTAGTATAGAAACTTGGCTAAGCATTGAATAAAATATCGCGTTTCTCATAAAAAATGTCACTCAGCGTAGCATCATCTTATGCCTTTACTTAAGGAACATGTTATAATTGCAAAAGCGCATGAAGTATCTATCATCCATATCGTAATCGAATCCGACACATACTAGGCAAATACCGTTACATATACCAATGGGATCTTTTTATCAGAGATATATAATTTTAAATACATACATAAATAGAGCCTTTGATAATTTACTGCTCAAGTATACTTTGATTTTCATACTGATTTATTTACTCCATACTTTGATTATACATATACTTGATAAGTATATAATCAAAGTATATAGCCATGATGTCTCAGTGTCCGGGCGCTCGCTTTTATTAAGTATTCTTTTATTAATATTCTTAATATACTCGAGAGATCCGAGTTCAAATCCCGGTGCCGGCACCAATGAAATTTTTAATTTTAATTGTTCACTTGTCATGTGCTCAGCGTGAGGAAACCTGCACATTTTAAAGAAAAGGGCATAGTCCACCACGCGACCCCACTGCAGATTAGCGTAAACATATTTCGAAGATATTTCAAATATCTTAGCAGTGGGGTCGCGTGGTGGACTATGCCCTTATACCCTCTGTACAAAGGCCAATTCTAATAAAAGTCAAACAAAACAATGCATTATCCCGACAGAGATGCCTTGGAGACTAATAATTCGAAATGGGCCAAGTTTAGAATCGTTAGGTGTATCCGCTGGCGTTGGACATAAAGATCTAGAGGATGCAATTTGGTCCGTCCTCCGCCTCCTAGTTGGTCGTGTGTTACCATATCATTAATGGCCCACGCATTAATCCTAGCTGATATTTTTTTCTTTTTCTTTAAAAAAAACATTGCCCTTACTTTGGAATAAAATTATCCTGCGCTGTATGTTTTACAAATATAAATTTCACGAGGACAAACACCCAGATGCAAAAAAACTATCCACGTGTCACAAAATTAGTTGTCCCGTTTGGGAATCGAACCCACGACCCCCGCCAATATCTTAGCAAATGCGCCACGGAGACATCAGACTAGTTACAAACAGTTTCGCCCTTGAAATTGGTCATTATTTGTTGCAACGATTATTGTTTACTTTGTGTTTAAGTAGGGTCCTAATCGTAAAACATTCACTAATCAACCAGAAGTAAACAGAGATAACGCCACTACGAGAAACTGATTTCACGTCCTGCTTTTCGTAAAATCTTATCTCCCACTTCTATACATCTACGTAATAATACATAGATAAACAACAAACATAATATGTTTATCTATACAAGGAGACTTTTTTAAAGGTGTCCAAATTTACACAGGAGGTCGGACTCGGTAGTATATATATTTTTTTTTTTCAAAAAAAAATTACCACTATTCCCTAAAAAACAGAACTTGTTGACAACGCAGTATAGTTTTTTCATAAATACCTAAATTTTGTTGTCACTCACTCACTTAATCTGCTTTTAAATTATTTAAATAAACCAGTAACTAATTTTGAAATTTGTCTGATATGCGTCAGAAGGTGGAGGAAGCTCAGCGTTTTAAATTTTGTAATCGGATCAACTCCTTCGATAAGAGGCTCCAATACAAACGATCAAATATGAGTTTTTGAGAAATTGTCTAACTATAGGTACTTAGAAACGAATGTAGCCTTTTTTATTTGTATATTTTTCGTTTTTTTTTTATTTTTTATTTTAGACGGTAGATAGCGAGCTGAAACTGACGTTATAATGTAGCTTTTAATTCGACGGAATCGATCGTGAGGCCTGGAACAGATACCGCAGACCTCTTGGCGGATGCGTCGCATGCTCAGCGCTTATCCCGGCACGGGATCCATATACGTGGCCGTCGCTTACAACGGCCTAAACAGAAGCTCCTACTCGGTCTACGTGCCGACCTACACCTACGCCTGCTCCCCGATGGATGTGGGTGGTTGCGAATTACTCGGTAAGAGACTCTTCGCGGATGTTTTTTTTTTTCTAAAATCCATTGTGGTAGGGCCACGCAATGGTGTTCACTGTTGCACGAATGGGCAGCTCCGTCCGAGTAATTACCACGACCTCACAGTAGGCCTGCGTGAAGTGGAAGTGTCATACTTCTGCGTTTCGTCTGGTGAGTAAGGTAGCCGGGGCCCACTTTTTTAAAGGTGGCAACGCTTCTGCAATCCTACGGGTGTTGCATATGTCCATGGGCGGCGGTCACACTTAACATTACGTGAACCGCCAGCTCGTTTGCCACTTTTTCACATAAAAAAGCATCGCAGCGTTAGCCCACTGCCTACATTCCCGCATTAACTTTGAAGCCCCAAGAAGGTTCTGCTGTTACACGGATGGGCAGGCTCGTCCGGTGGACTACGACGACAGCACAGAAACCGGCGTGAAGTTGAAGTATTATTCTTCTGGAAATTAAAAGTTTGCAACGCATCTGCAACCTATGTCCAGTAACGGTGGTATATCAAGTCAACCGCCTGTTCGCATGCTACCTTCTCATATAAAAACATTGATGGGTCTTGGACTTTTCTTCAGTACAAAAATCTTGTAGGTACCATGAATCTCTAACGACTCCTATAGAATTATTGTTGAAGGAACCTTAGGTAGAACTATGTGTAGGCTCTACTATTAGATTAATATACCAGGGAAGCATATGAGCAATTGCAATTTTAATACAGATCCATCGATTTTCGTTTTACAATATCAAGAATTTTCCAGACCAGTAATAGCGTAGGTACACGGAAAACACATATCTCTATCATCTATGTTATATTCCTTAGCTTTCCGCAGTATTAGCACTCTCTTTTTTGATAAATTTAATGATTAATCTACATTAATAGCGTTATTTGATTTAACGGAAAGCTTAATTGCTAAAAGCGTTAATTTATCACTCGTCCGTTCGTAGGTGACGCGCTCTCTAAGTTGCTTTGCGCATCGCTTCTGTTCTTCGGGCTGTTCGTGTGCTACTTCGGGCACCGGTTCTTCAAGACCGAGATGTTCCTGGTCGGTCTGACCACCGGCGTAATCATCACCTACATTCTGATATCGCTGATAGCCGAACTGGAGAGGCCTGGTAAGACAAGAGCTAAGACGCTGTATTTAGAAACGTTTGCTTTGCGTTGTCACGTGGCACCTTTTTTTTTATTGTTTAATTGTATTATTCACTTTGTCTCTTTTGTGTGAAATTGTGGCTCTTGTTTTCGAAGAACATCAGCTTTACAAAGCAGGCATCGGGATATCGCGACCTGATAAAGTCCTGTTCAAAATTATACACAAAATCAATGCGTTCAGTTCAAGTTATATTATAATTATGTGAACGTATTTATATCAGTCTTGGACAAATTCACATCAGTCCAAAAGAAAAAAATTATGTTGCCCACAATGAACGTAATATAGGCATAATATAGGCAGTTTCTCAGGATGATTTAAAATATTAATAATAGTTATGCTTACGTTTTTGTTTACGTTTACTTTGTGACTTCTCGATGAGCAAATCTGCGCTTTGTACTAGATTTCAGATTGCCTTACAGCCTGTATCTTTCTGATTGCCTGGACCTTCTTCAAAAAAACAAATATTGCAATGCCGATTATTCTAAAATTATTGTAAATGTGATTAACACATTCGGCGTTTTCAAATGCAAGCGATGACGTTGACCTAAGTGCGGTAGGGCCACGCAACGCCTTCGGTTGTTGCACGACTAGGCAGGTCCGTCCGGATAAGACCATAGAACATATACTTTTGCGTTTCGTGTGGTGACTGAGGTAGCGGACGTTACAAATGTCCATAGACGGCGGTTATCGCTTGACATCAGGTGACCCCCAGCTCGTTTGCCACTTGTCAAATAAAAAAGTGATGACGTGACATCGTGTGGTTCAGTCGTCTCCACTACTAGAGACCGGTTCGTCATTGCCCTACCGTTTCAGCCCTGTTAGGCGCCGCGATACTGTCGGGAATGTGCTTTGGAGCAATCTGGCTCCTGTTCTGGTGGTTTTACGGAATCCCCGTATTCGCTGTGCTGCTGTCGACTCTGAATCTTGGGTTCCTGTTCGCCGCCTTAATCTATTTCGGACTTCCAGGTAATTATACCCCAAACTACCTGTACGATGAAATATATTACAATCACTTTAGGACATGATTACACGCACATACGATTTACACACACTAATGTAAAGACACATGGAAATCGAACGCAATCGTCTTTTTTCTGTCCGAGCTGAGTCATCATACTGGTTGATACAGATCCCTAGTACTTTATTGTGTATGGTGAACCGAAGTACGTACGATAAACTGACGTATTGTGAAAAAAGGAAAAAACCGTATATAGAAAGAAAATTAACATGCCTAAGTATACGAACATGTTTTGGATTAGTCTTTGTACATTGGATTTCTTTTTCTTATTTCTTAGATACGCCGGTTTCCTTAAGATTGCTCAAGTGCACTGAATGAGAAATATCTAAGTCTAAAATTACCAAAACCCTATTAGGTAACAGCTACAATTTTTTTTAAAACGCCAATTTGCCATTTGAACGAAACTTTTTGCACTCGCTGTTACAACTTTTCCCAATATGGTCTGTGATAGCCGCCATGTTGAGTTTTAGTTTGCTGTCACATCTTTAGTGACCCTTCGAAGATTAAGACTAAAACGCCACAAAAGTACACACATACACACATTTGTGATAGATAGACACAGATGTGATGATTGATAAACACAACCTCCTTTGCGTCGCGCAATCGGGTAAAGCGATTGAGCTTTAGCGAGTATTGTGCAACTGTTTATTTTTAACTCGTTATTATCCACATTAAAGTGTTATTCCAATTATCAAGAAACTATCGTTGTCTTTATTGGCCATTAAATACAAATTATCACAACTACATTTTCAAATGCAATGGTCCTTATAAACATTTTAAAGTTTCTGCTCAAAGTATTCATAATAAATGTTACCGTTTAATAAAAACACAGGCGAAATGAAAAACTCTCTATCAAGTTGAATACACTTGAAGAACATAAACACGATGAGCCTTCAGCAAGAGTTCAAAAAACTTTACACTATAAATATCCGAGGGCTGTCACACAATAATACAAACATGTGTTACAAAATCCTCCCGATCGGCCAGGTTAACAGGTCGGTCAAAAGTTTACATAAAGTGTTTAATGTGTGACTCATTGCTTGAAACAACGAGAACAGCTATTCATTAATTGGCTTTCCATTCCAAATGTTAGGGCTGTCACTAAATCATTTTGTGATCGCTTTGACATTTTATTTCGCCTCACATATTTTTCAATAATTTATGGTGCTCAGTTCAGTACCGACAACCTGAGTATTTGATTTCATAAATAAGATCGGTTTAAATAAGGAATGTTTCGCGTTCAAATATTTCTTATATCTTAAAGTATAAAGTCAGCCTACACGTGTCCCACTGCTGGGCAAAGGCCTCCTCTGTACAGAGGGTATCAGGGCATAGTCCACCACGTGACCCCACTGCGGATTGGCGGACTTCACATATCTTCGAAATATTTTTTACTTCTTTTTGTTATTATTTCGAAAATATGTAGGTTTCCTCGCGATGTTTTCCTTCACCACTGAGCACGTGATAATTCGGTACTTAAAATAAGCAATTTCATTGGTGCCGGCACCGGGGATCGAACTCAGGTTGCTCGAGTAAATTGAATTAAAGGCGAGCGCCCGGACACTACCACGGCTTCTTATATCTCATCGTTCACTAAATGCTCCCCAAGAGAAGGAGAACATTAGTATTACAACATTATAACATTACAATTTTGTTTTTTTGAATAAATGAGTTGCGTATAAATCACGCACTTTTTGAGATAAGTTCAAATCATCATCATCATCATCATTTCAGCCTGTTTGAGTCCACTGCTGAACATAGGCCTCCCCCAAAGTTCAAATGAATGTAATTAATTACTTACGATTGATTTTAAATATTTATCAATTTTTATATAAAATTATTTATGTCTAGAATTTAATTTAAAAAAATGGATACATTTAGAAAAGCCACCCTGTATTTTTCGCGTAAGTGTAAGAAATTAGTAATAAATAAACTTTATCATATATCGTGCTAATCAACACGTTGAAATCAACTTTATATTCCACTTTGGTATTCAAATATTATTATGATGGCTGACCAAAAACTTACATTTGCTTAAATTGAATATACCTACGTTATTTACAAGTAATGTGCATTTCCATTGTTTCATTTCGTCGAATTGTAGTGTTACAAAATACATTCTCGAAATGAATTCAGAATGGCTCCATAAGTTTTGAGATTATATTCAAGAAATACAAACAAACACATTGACTGTAAAAATTGTAGAAAAAATGTAGACGAAAAGTATTTCGCCGCTGCGGGAATTGAATCCATGTGTAAATAGAATATTATTTTAAATTAGACAGCCTTACCAGCTGATCGTTTGTTCCAGGTGGTCTCACAACGCTCCAAATCGACTTCAATTTCTGGACCCTCTTCGTGCTTGTTATGTCGCTGACATCCCTAGTACTGCTCTCTATGACGTTCCTGTCTAACATCCTTTGCTGCGCGATATTGGGCGCGTACGCGACTGTCTACCCTATCGACTACTACTTAGGATCCAATTTGAAGTACATCGTCATCAACACGATCCGTAGGGCTGTCGTGCCAAAATTCAACAGCGCCGTGCTATCGCCGCCCTTCGAGTTGGCAGGTGATTTATTTTATCGTCAACATTTTTATTATTATACGTGTGTTTATAAATAAAACAGTACCATAAAAATTGTTTATAGGTGTAACATATAACAGTGATAAACGCTCAAAACAACTCCGATACGAATTTGTTTGTAAACGAAGTCGTATACAATTTATTCGTTCACTGAGCTGTTAAATGGCTGCATGTTTTCTATTATCTATATATTAATAATATAAAAACTTTTTGTGTGTGTGATTCTTAACAATAGGACTGGAAACTTGAAATTTTGTCATTGGGAAGTTCAGTTTGATCTTCCAACTTAATGTTCAAATATTGAGATTACTGACCAATTTTTCAAACATTGTACATGCCTCATTACTCAGAAGTAAAGTGCATTTTCTGTACTAAGTTGTGCCCAGCCATTTTACAGAAAGAGAATTTGGGATACTGCAACAAAAAAGTACATATTACAATATAAAATTTTTGGGTTTAAATAGTTTAGCTCTTGTCACTTATATAAATGACTCTTCTAGACTTCTAATGACTAGTCACTTATGATAAATGGGCCGCTACGACCGGACAAGTGTTAAAGTCCTGGCGTGTTTATATAACTTTTTAGAAAAATTGAAAGCGAGGTAGTTGACCTCTCTTTCTGATCTCTTTCAAATGATAGGGACGGCGTATACGGCATTAATGTTACATCTCTTTCTTCGCCTATTGTATAGTTGAGTGCGTTAGTAGCGCTTGCGATAGTTTACTGTGTAATCTGTGAAATCTCAGTGTAGTCGTTAGCGTATCGTAGTGTAGTCGTATGGGGTCTGTACAACATATGAATCGTGTTTGTGGTATTGACTAGTTTCTTTACGACCTCGCTTGACGTTAATGCCCCTTGGAACAAACATCCAGATCCAGAACAATTATCTCACCAAGACTAGTACCGTGTGGGAACCGAACCCACGACTCCAAAAGCTTGCACCTCAGCAACTGTGCCACCCCGTTTAAAATACGAGTACCTATATACAGGGTGATTTTGTAGACGACGGACATATTAAAGAAGCATATGCAAAATTTGATTCTAAATCTGAATCTGGTACGTACTTGTGACCTTTTTTTTTTTTTTTTGAAAGACATTTTCATTTTTTCAAACATTATGGACACCTTAAGAAATTCCTGCCTTACCATCTCATTACAATAAGCTATTTATGAGCACAAAAACTTTTCGCTGAACTTACAATTACTAAACCGCTTGTCAATATGGTGACCACTCTTAACGGGATAAACAAACAGTGTTAGAATTGATATTTTTCTGGTTATTTATTGTCAAAATAAAATATTCATATATCTTTTTAACTATGGAATGCTCAGTTAACATTATGTCAATGCATGTACTTTGTCCAAAAAATCACGCTGTACATAAAATGTCGTTAAAATTTGTCACAATATCGCAGCGTCTCAATATCAAGTTAACGTTCTGTGCTTCCTTCAGACACGCTGCTGACCCTACTGTGGCTGGCGCTGACCCTCACAGGGTTCCTGTTCCAGCACTACCAGAATCGAGGCCGTCCACCGTTCCCACCGCCACCGAGGAGCGTCAGACCCAGCGGCCCCACATACGGAACCAGTGGACAGGGGTAAGCTGGTCCCAGGACCAACTAGCGACACCTGTTCTCGAAAGATATAAGGAAGCTCAGCTGTATTCAGTTGCGTGGTGCGCCATCTTTACGCATAGTTGGGTACGCTGCACGGTAACACAAGTAGTGACGCGTGTGTAACACATAACATCGTAATGTAACTAATCGGAAACTCGATAAGTATCATATGAAATAACTGAAGAAATTAACCTATACACTTGTATTCATCAAATTCAAAATACACACAGAAATCGAATACGAGTACTTGGAGAAAATATGTGTCATAAACACTGGGATAGCTAACGGATCATTCCCTTCAGCTAATGAAAATATCAACTTAGAAATTAATGGTGTAGTCTCCTTTCTACCCTAACTTCAAAATGTGAAATAGTGAAAGACTAATATTCTTCTACGTTTCAGATACGGCGCCCTTGTCCAGAGAGGACCAGCGCCCACGCGTGGGACATACAACGAAAGCACGCCATTGTTGTTTTAAAACCACTTATCCTGCACTCAGATAAGCACATTTGTATCGCATCAATAAAACATATGACAAAGATGTTTCTAATTAAAATCAGGTTAGAAATTTATGAACGGTCATTTTTGAATTGGTTTAGTTATCGAATTTGAATTTATGCTTCTTTACTGAAAAGATTATGCTCGGTTATTTGCATTTAAAGACCCAGTATAGTCTTTCTGAAAGCTATGAACACATGAGAAAAGTAGTTATTTATCAATCAAGTTCCTTGACTTAATACAGTAAGAGATCTCATAACAAAAACAAAATTTTTTTGAAAATATCATTAAGCTCTAAGCTTTTGCACCAAAGAAGTGTAATATCTGAAGTACGCGCAAAAATACATGCACTTTCTAAGTCAACTTGAAACACATGAGACTGAAGAACTTAGTGTGTCGTAAGAACAGAAGTATTTGAATGTTTTCAATTTTCATATAAACACAGTCATATTCGTTCGTATAAATGTTGCTAAAATTTCCTCGGCAAATAGATCGATGTAATTAAGTATGATTCATTGTTATAAGACTACTTAATGCATGATCATTACCGGTATGTATCTATTCTATTTATACATAATACTGGAAATAATTGAAATCATATCCATCGTTTTCAATAAGAAGATTTTGCGATGTTCACATTCGCAACTGTTTGATACAATTTTGTAACTACAACATTTTATAGTAATTCGCAATCTTGCAGCTCAATACTAGCACAAATATACTGTATAGATTCTATATCCAATAATATTTAAGCAGTGATTCCTATCCGATGCACTCACTATAGGTGTAAAATGTATCAATTGACAATATTCATATGAAATAAGCTTTTACATATTCTATAATAATGAAATGGCTTCTTTATTGAACATAATATAACAAATAAATTTGTTATTTGCAATCGACTATTTTATTGAACTAAGAAACGTATATGACTCATGTCGTTTGAATAAACCATATTTTTATAGCTCACAACCTAATAACTACTATCACAATAAGTAATGACAAAAAGTTTAACACTTTTATTTTTATCTGTGCAAATGTCGAGGAGTGTATTTGTTTTTTTTTCTTTATCGCATCTGTTCGTAGAGAAGAAACGTCCGTTGTATTTATTTGCATTGATGAAGGCATTTGAAATGAAGATTAACGAATTGAAATCAAACGCAGCCGCCCAACACGATGGGCGAGGGGCGAACGCCGCCTAAATCTAAACCAATTATAGGCGTCGATAATCTGGACAATTGGTGTGCTTCGATGGCGGGGAGACGGGTTCCATGGAATTCTCGTACGAATTCATATTGTTTGTCGACACTCGCCTGTTGTGTGTGTGGAGAATTAAAAGATGGTGTAATGGTTAATGCAATATTTATTAATAAATTTCACTGTAATCTCGTCAACCTATACGCACTTACAATCGATTAATAATTTATTTTACACTTATGTTCAAATTAAATTACATACCGTATCTACCCCTTCCGTATTGCATGTCCTCGCCAACGCGAAGAAACTAACTTATGCTGTGAAACCAGCACCGTCATAAATTATTCGTATATGTTACACAGAATGTACAAGTGGAACGACAGATAATAATAAGCGCCTTGCTTCATTCACGAAGTAGAAAGGAAAACATGAAGAAATTTGACTTAATGCCCAATGATCGAGACTAAGAATATTTACAATTAATTTTGTCGCATCACTGTTGCAAAATGTCTTTAGCGAAAAAATGAACTAACTACCTTTAATCACAGCAATATTGATCTCCTTAGTTTCAAATACAAGAAATAAATAACATAAACTAAACGGTATCGAAGAAACTGTGCCACAATAAATTTGCAATTACAACTTACAACACCCATTATTACAGTATTATTATACAAGAATACAAACATGTTTAGTTCGTATGACAATTTGTTGCCGCACGCAGGGGTGGCCAACAAATCGTCGTAACGAAGCTTATTGCCACGTTTTCCTCTGTAGCATTAATATTTCTCACCCCTATTGCATAGATCAAAGAAATAAAAGGGTTGTGCTTGCTAAGGGCGTATAACACTCAATTATTACAAACGTTGGCACAAACGATTTACATTTATTTTCTCCCCAGAGATGCGTACTTGGACGTCGCAAGGGAAACTCTCTACTCAACAATAGATGGCGCTTAACTATATTTACATTATTTCACTATCGTACTCCTAGTCTCTTTAACCATACACAAGGAAATACGGAGCTGCTTTGTGATTGTTATATACATTACTGTAAGCAAACGAATACAATGAAAGTATAGAAGTAATATGAATGTGAGCAACATGTTTCCTTGTACGTGATTATACGACACTTACCGCTAGGTTTGAACATCATCAGTTGCCTCTTACACATAACTGGTGTCGGTTTTACACTCGAAACGTACAACACAAACATTAACTTGCACCATTTAAACGTTGACAAAGGAAAGATCACTCGGTTCGTATTATCTTTTAAAAACTGTACCGTCACGGGCACTCTACGACACGGAGTTTTGCTCTTGGTGCATGTCTCCCGCCAAAACCGCGTCGTGGCCGGCGGTCATGTTTATCGCGGCGCTCATGCCCAAGTGCGAGTCCGCGAAGTTGTGCGCCATCTCCCCGCTAGATGGGGCGTCCGCAACGCGTAAATGCGTTGCGCGTGATCTGCGAGGCGACGTATCGGCGTAATCAATTTCAACGGCAGGCATACGGCACGATCTAATGCGGAACCGGGCGGCGTCGTGTATCAATATCGGCTCAGCCATATGTATAATAGGATTGCGATAGCGTTCCGTTCATTACACACAATCGCGTTATCGGGGCGCGGTGTCCGCTCAGCTCGATTATGTCCAGTCGGGCCAGTCATAAAGCTGTCGACAAGTCCATGAGCGATGTATAATCTGTGTATGCGTATAGCCTGTGGCGGGCGACTGGCTGTACGCAATTTGTCCGCTCGCAATAGAGTTTGGGCGGGAATTGATCAATGTCGCACTTTTTTGCGGTTTACCTATGCCGAGTCCATTTCAAAACATTTATTGGATTTCGATTGAAAGTTAATATGGTCTACAATTTTTGTTTGTTGTTTGATTTCAGTATCGTTCATCTGTTTCGACCGTTAAACGCGTTAATGTCTGCTTCCGTGTTCTAAGTGAGAATTCTCTTCATATCCATATTAGGTTTATACAATGACTAAAAATTGTATGCAGTATTATGTGTATACAGTAGTGTATAAATATTGGTATGATCATTTAGTTACTAAAGTTATCCCTTTGTTTAGTTAATATATTGTTAAATGCAGCCTCTGTTGTTCAACCTAAAGTATTATAATTGCTATAGTCCATAATATGTAAATCGTGATTCTAATTACAAATAATGAATTCAAAGTGTTTGGAATTATTTGCAATATGGTAATCTCAAACATTCCTCCAGTTTTCCAGCGCTAACTCCTTCGATCTAACATCGTAAGAGCATCCATAAAAAAATTCGACCGATAAATACGTCATTAATCCAGAGCCAATTCGCTACGCCTGCATAATTTGGATGACGATACCCCCTCCTCCACAAGCGGGCGCGTGCGAGGCGCCGATAAGGGTTATATGTTCCGCGTCGCGGCGAAGGGTTAGCGTTTACATTCATTACACGTTATTATCGGCACTAAACAGGGTCCCTGAGAGACCCGTTTAACCAATCGCCTGTGCCTGACCGGCCACGCTCCGCAGCCTTCTTTTCTCTTTATTATTTTTATGGGACAAGGGAGAGAGCGAGCGGTACATGGTGATTGCCACCTATCCACAGCGCTACCAACGTCTTTACAGTTGCGTCGTTAAATTTTAAATGGAAGGAGCTCACGCACCAGACGAAACCCACACATGTAAACTTCTACGTTACGCCGGTCCTGACAGACCGATCATCATTGATCTCAGTATTCATAAAAAATCTGACTCCTTTGGTATACCTGGATGACATTTTCGCTTTTAGACCTAAGTACTACGTAAACCTTTATCGGACACAGAATCCATAGAAACGCTACATGTTGAGAAGTAGTAACATGTAAACGGTATGTACCACAATATAATCATTTATTCTTTCGTCTATTATCAGCTGAACGCCGTCGAAATCTTTTTTTATACAACGACACTGTCACTATAAGTGCGAAGTATTACAAAAAGCTTGATTTCATAATATATTTACATGCTAATCGTAAATACCTCTCAAACTTCGCCTTTTGGTCTGCGGAGCTAGTCGTATGAGCGTGTGCGTTCGCAAAGCGCTATTGTGACCGGAAACGAGACAAAAGCGAAATGTGGAAGTGAGCGTTGTATTATTTAATATGGCGCGAGGCTGAAAATGCGCCGTCCGAGAGAGCAAAAGAGTAAATGAAACGCGCTTTGAATCGTGAGGAGGGCTTTTGTTCGCGGCCGCTGAAAACTCGGCGGCCGAACAATACTCGGAGCGGCGAACAACAATAATTCATACCGTTTCCCGCCACCTACGGCTAAAAATGTCCGCCGAGCGATATATAAAAACGGACAGGGAGGATTCGCCATTTTTAAAAACAACACCGACAACTTCGTTCCGAAGCCTTGCTAATAAATCAGGAATGTTCTCACTTATTTATGCGTTCCCCGTATGTTAATAAATCTCGAATGTTCTCATTCGATTCTGTTACGGTATTGGGTTGCGTTGATTGGCCCCAGCGAATAGGAATTAAAGAGGCACAGATACTGCTATTTGTTAAAAGCGCCGTTCGATATTCAAAATCAATTCGAAAGCCATTTGTAAGGAACAGACAACGGCAAATCCAATCGGGTTCTATTTTTCCCTCCCTTTTCCTTTTTTATTTTATTTTTTGTTTCCCCGTCATGTCGCGGTCTTGAACCAGACGCCCCTCGCTCTCGAGTCAGCGTTTTTTACATTTTATTACACGAAGTTGGTAAATATTTTCCGAAGTCGGATTTCTTCTGCTTTCATCGTATTTACTAACACGTCGCGAAAGTTGGGCGTATTTCAATATTTCGTTGTTATGTTTGTTGCTACAATAGGCAATCTCTATTTAGAAACGTATATAAGGTTTTATTCAGATGGCAAATTAATACATAAATAAAACTTATTTGTTCGCTTTATTGAGTAACGTTTTCCAAGCAGTGCTATGTACAAATATGCAGGCTCGTCCGGGGAAGTACGGCTTCAAGGAAAGCATTGTGAAAGTATTATACTTTCACATTTCGTTTGGTGATTGAGGTAACCGGGGCCAATTTTTTAAAGGTGGTCAACGCATCTGAAACCCGTCAGGTGCTGTTGATGTCTATAGGCGGCGGTAATCACTTAACGTTGAACCATTCACATAAAAAATAACATCCAATATGATTTATACGGTAGGAAATGATTATCACGCCTTGTAGAGTTATGTTACTAAATTATCACATTAAATAAGTGTTAGAAAAGTTTAAACAGAATGGCTTCGGTGGTGCGGAAAAGAGGGAAATTATGATCATTGGTCGAAAAGTGACGAATAGATATCATGCTGCAATAACCAGTGGAATGATGTACAAGGCGAACGGGCCGAGAGAGTGACAAAAAACTATATGTTAAAGCAAAAGAGCTCTCTTCAGAATGACAGACGTGAATTGTAAATACATATAAGCATGCGTATGTGTGTGACCGTGTATGTGTGCGTGACGGACGGAGCCGTCCTTACCGGTGCTAGCTGCTGCTTACGGCGTTCTATATTTGTGTGTGTGTGTTACTGTGTAAATGTGCGTTAAGCCGTCACTCACCGGTGCTGGCTGCTGCCTGCGGCTGCGTGTATCCGGCGTGTTGCTGGTGGGCGGCGGGCGCTCGTGAGTAGCCGCCGCCGAGCACGTCGCCGAACATGTACGGGTAGCCGGCGTCACGCTGCTGAAGGCACGACGAGGAGAGCCCGCCCGACATAGAGCTGTTGGCAATGGGAGACGTTAATAGCGTCGAACAGAAAGACGGAGTACTGGCCGTTTACTGATGATTAGATAATCCTGTATCATGAATCAGGGTGACCATGTTTTCATTGTAAAGTCTCCTATGACGTTTATGTGGATCGGGCCCAAATACCTCCTGGTTGGAACAGTAGGAAGTGACTCCTAAATAAAAATATAGTCGTAATTTAAATAGATTTGTCACTATAATCTGTAAAGCCAGTTTGACTATACTATTTTTTTGATGTATCCATAACAATAATGAAAGTCAACGCGTGTCCATTACAAGCACATACACGTTTTTATCACCAATAACCAGCCCATAACAGCAAAGCAAAAAAAAATGATGTCATAAACGTTATAAGTGACGAATCTTCACCGTTCAACGGACTAAAGGGAAACTTCCCGTCTCGGTAGGTAAGTTAATTTGCACGACAAAAGCTAAAGCCCGTAGTTCACTGTTAAAAATCAATCCGAGCGTAAAGGCCCGACCTTCGGGCTCCGTAGCGCGGAGCGTCTCGGTCGTCTCGGTGCAATGGCGGGAAACGCAAGGAGCCGCGACCTTTGCCGCTCGATTTCGCGCGCTATTCAATTAATGTCTCCGCCCGACGCCAGATGGCGTTGCTCAACGGTACCTTTTACAAGTTTTTAAGCGTCCACGACATCGAACATTTACGTGAAGAGTTTAGTATATGAGAATAGAAAAATCTGCCTTGGTCTTGAATCTTTATGTATTTATATGACTCAATGTATAAAAACGCTTTACCACATTATAATTATATCATACCGTTCATGAATATTATTTTAACTGACTTTTATAACTGGTTTTGACATTTTCCAGTAAGTTATTCGACTATACAAATCGTAAAGGTTCCAAATTCGAATAGTGCACAGCTCACCTGTACGTGTCGCTCATGGTGGCTATAGGTTGCGGTATGGGGCTGTACATTGAGTTGAAGCCCCCGTTGAGAGGCAGCCGGGGAGCGGGCGGCGCGGGGGGAGAGGCTGCCGGTGCCTCGCGCCGCTGGCTGCGGAGTTTCTCCTCGCGCCGCCACTTCGCGCGCCGATTCGAGAACCACACCTGATTGGGCGATGACTCTTTTTTAATACAGATCACATATTACAGTATACTTTTTAATGCAATTGGCCATTAGTCGTCATGCCAAATCATCATCGAAGCCATAGTGAAACTAACCCGGCAAGTGATACTATTATAGTATCGGGAAATGTATTTGAAACTTCTGTTTTGGAAATTTTGGCTTAATATCTAACGAAAGACCTCCTTCAGATGTGATATGGTCAGATATAATTATCTTCCTATAATATAATATTTATTCGGGATTATAGGAATTTAATACCAAGATACTCATTTTCTGCATTTATGTTGAAACGTATATTAAACTTTTTTAAATGCGTAGATAAAACCTTTGATACACCGGTGCGTTTCATGGGAGATCCCGGAGTCCCTTCAAATGTACGGAAGGACACCGAAGGAGTGTTAGTGGGTAAGAACCCCACATAACCTTGTCATATAGTGACCAGGTATCTTTCGAAGATTTCCCCCCCGATACCAAAAAAAAAAGATAAAACTGATAGAAGCCTAAATGTTTCTCTACAACTTTTTGATGAAACTTTACCATTTTAACACCATAAACTAGCATTTTATCCTCTAATATTTCGTCAGAGCTTGCGAAAATCCTTGCCACTAATTAATAAACCCTCGCCGAGCGTCAAAATATAGTCTTTAATTATAATTTTAATAAAGTGCACACCCTAATTCCCGCGTACGCAGGTAATCAAAGCTTTTAACAAAGTTAACTTTGCAACGCCCATCCATGGCTTGCTGTTATGAATGTAATATGATAAAATTTAGACATAACAGGCTAATATTTATCGAATTATTACCGACATTAAAAAAGAACATAAAACTCTGGCTATTATAATCTTAAGTATTAGCAATAAGGAAAGATAGTTAATAAATTGCTAAAAGCCAAAATAGACTTTCGAATTATAGGTATACATTTTATTTACACATGAATTATATTGCATTCTTTTGAATGAATTCATGTTTCCCAAAGAAAGTAAAGTGTACTTTTTACTAATTGCAGATCGTATGTATTGCCATACGAGGATGAATATAACAGAAACGCAACAATTCCCTTTGCGAAATTCAACTTTCAATTAATCCAACCATGGTTATTATATTGTGACATTGAAGCGTGCGAAACGGAACGCTGCTCCGGAAGTAGCCCTCACGTGCGCGTCACTTCCGCCACCGGCAGTCATGGCGACGCGACGGCAATATGGCGCTTAAGCTTTCCCGCTCTTTGCTACAGATTGTGTGTACAAAATGACGAAAGGCAAAAGTTTAGAAAATCACCGACAAATAGAAATGCAAAAATATTAAAAAATTAGGGGATTTTTCAGAAATCATTGAAACTAATGAATAATAAAATAGCCATTGTTTTATTGAAATCACAATCAAAAAACAATCGTTAATGTTTCGGATTATTGTCCTGATTGGGTCATCTTAAATATTCCCTTTAGGTTATCTATTTCAATAAATAGTATATTAAACTTTGAAAAAATCTTACGCACAAAGGACTATAAATAGGGAAATAGGAAATATTAGTTTCTACAAACGTAAATATAACTAAAAGGAACAAGGTCTTTTTTCCATTTGGTCGAAATTGCCCGCCGCGGAGAAAATGGGGAAACCCGAAAAACCGGGTGCGTTCAAAGAGGTCACGCAGGAGGCAATATGTCATAATATTATTGCTTCAGCCTCCAACAGAATCGCCGGAATGTTGCCGACAATATTTTATTTCAACCCTCGCCAAAACTCGCCTGTACATAGGAAGGTTCGCTTGAGTCGAGTACACACGGCGAAGAATCATTAAATTAGGTATATTGGAACGTGAAAGAAGTTTAGACAGAAGTAAAGTATGGATATTTTTGAATGTTTAATTTAAAAATAATTTAGCTATTATTTTTTTTTATCCGTTCCTTTCTCCCAGATAGATAGATTGTACATTTTGGTGGCCTAGTTTTTATTGCTGAAGCATTGGTTGAATTGTTCAGTTCGATCTCGAGCTGAATTCATGTTTGGCACCTAATCCGTTATGACATAAGTGCAGCGATCATTTTTTATTATTAGAAGTTATTTGGCACAAGTTTGTTGCTATATTTAATACGTTATAATTGACGATCACTTTTTCAAGTTTAACAAGAACCTATAATATTCGAATAAAGCTTCATAAAACAGATCTGGCCATATGAACTATATTGTGTCTACATCCTTACGTGGTGTGTGTAACGGTCCTAACGTCACAGTAAAATATTATGACATCTCCGTTTTTTCCTCGCTGTCCATAGATATTTCTTCGTGACAGCGATGACAGGCCCTTTTCCCGCCTCCACGTCATTTCCCGTTGGCCTTTTATAAATTGTCCGCTACCCTCATAGTTGGCGAAATATTATTAGTGGGGTTCCTTAGTAAATGAGATTAACTGTAATATTGTTATTGCGACAAGCCCTCGCCAACCACAGCGATTGCTAGAAGTTTTTAACGGGCACTTAAAGTGTACTAATCTTCGGTATATATTCGATATTTAGATTGCAAAGCTGTTTCAGCGAAAGTTGTTTTTGGTTATGGGAAGCAATTGCAATAAAATTATAATAGAAATTGAATCCGGTCATCGCATATGAGGATTTTCCGTGCATCTAGCTACGTTAAGGTCAGCAAAGCAAGCTTTTTCATCTACTTCCGCGTAACATTTTCAGTGTCGCGGCGTGAACGGCACTCGATAAACAACAGACACAACTCCCATCCATCAAATGGAATGAAAAAAAGCGGGGAATGTACATAAATCAGAACGAGGCTAGAGCAGCGCGAAATCTTTTCATTTATCCGAAAGCAGAGTTGCATTCCTTCACGATCTTATGGCGTTTGGGATAGGTGCGAAATTGGAAGGTGGCGACGGCATTGCTCCAGTTGTGTACCCGGTGCCAATTTTTTAAAACACGCCCCGCCCGACGGGATACTCGCCCCCGCTTAGGCCCGGGGATCGATACCAGAGCCCTCCGTCTACGGTGACCATGTTTCATAACAGCACGGGATAATATCCGATATTGCGAAGTTTCAACCTCTGAGGTTCTTAGTGATATTAGTTACAAAGTGCTCGTACAATAACTTGTTATGATGAAGAGGTCAGTGACTTGTACGGATAAACAATCACGACTTGTTTACGCCACTGTTTCGAGCGCGCCGCTTTGTACTTTGCGTTTGATACAGTAAATGCCAAATTGGGCGTGAACTAGAGAAAAACATTCTGTACGTATTACATACCTATCTATTTTCTTAAAGGACTGAAAAACATATCGGTTTTATTATTGCTGATATGAGTAGCAGTCGTTCGGTTTACTTTAATATACCTATCGAAATAAAAAGTTTAAGTAACGTGTTTTACATATATTTTAATTTACAAACTATTACTGATGATGCGGAGGAAATCTCAAATAGCAAGGCTTTGAAAACTTATTACGTCTTGTTAATCTTGAAAACGTATGAACATTGACATTTAGTTAATTTATTACGCTTCATAGTATTCATTTATTTATTTTATAACGTTTTTATTTTTTTAATCTCTTTCATTGAATCAACCCTGCGTACATTATCGTGTTCTGTGGGCGCTGAAAAAATAATCCGCGAATTGTGCGTAAGCCCGAAAAGGAACTCATTGAGAGCTGCACTACTCGACATATCGGATCACGTGTTTTTTTTTAATCCGATAGGTAATCGAACATCATGGAGTGCCTACACCCAATTCCGACACAGCCTTGAACCCCATGCCCCAGGGCAACACGTGGCGTCGGCCGAATGCGAAACGATTTCGTAGGAGGGTTTTCTCCTTCGAAGCCTCCCGGCCGGTTCAATGGACGAAACTGAACTTTACACGTTACCGTTATAGTCTAATGTAACTTGAGGATGTTTTACGGTTCCATTCAGGGCTGTCTAAATGTAGAGCGACCGAAAGATTATTATACTGAAAAACAACGATAGTTAACATTTTTACTGATTAACGGAAATTATTTTTTTTTCTATTAAGTAACGTTATATGCATATTAAAACATGTACAAACTATGAAATTATCATAGGTATCGATTTTCACAAAACAAATTTTCAATTGGGTGTCAATTTTTTGAATTTATGATCGATCATAAAACTGTACACACAGATGAACTGTGATATCGTTGTGATAAGACCTGCTCGCTTTAACAGCATGATTGAAAAAAAAATCTTTATAATTAAAACGCTATAATATCAGTTAACTCGTACGATTTGACTATAGATCACAGAAACTGAGATGTACTTTTTCTTTAACTGATTTTTCTTTCCGTCCGTAGACTACAGCGAACGCATGAGAGGTTACTCCGCGGACGATAGACACTTTAACTAACGCCCGGTTTCTGGAACACTGATCATCGTAGACGTCAACTAATCAGCTGTCAAATAGCTTTTCAAATGTTGTTTAAGTTGCCTTTTAGTGATAAAGCTCTCTGAATTGATCTTCTGAATGATCAGAATGATCAATTCAAACAGTTTAACCATCCTTTTGGCAACTTAACGTTTGAAAAGCTATTTGACAGCTGATTAGTTGTCTTCTACGTTGATCAGTGTTTCAGAAACCGGGCTTAAGACGCGTAACCCTATAGCCAAGTACTTGTTGACCGTGCGGACCAACGTTGCAGCGCGCCTCGAATGTAAAATAACGGCCGACGAGAGGTTAATGTGAGGGCTTAGCCCCTAGCTCCCTCGCTGAAAACCCCCGTTTCGGTGCTTGTGCCGTTTTTTGTTTTTTCCTTCGCCCCGCCGCCGAACAAGGAAACCGTTCTGTCTCGAAAAGGAGATTTCACAACGATCGCTCGTCCTAAGTCGTGTTCGCGGACGTCTACGTGACAGACAGATTAAGACAAGTTTAAGTTCGCGATTCTGTCTAATAAGTATTATATAGAACATCGTAGAATCTTTACATATCTGATTACTGGTTCACTATCCTAATTTTGTTATTTTAGTTAGTTCAAAGGGTTTAAAATAATTTACAACTACTAATACTACTAACAATTACTACATTATGTAGACTTAGAATTATTAGAGCCGTTATAACTCATTGTCCGGACGCCCGATTTTAATTCAATATACTCGAGCAACTATTGTTAATTTTAAGTGCTAAATCATCAGTGAAAACATCCTGAGGAAACCTGAACATTTACGAAATAACAAAAAAAATGTTTCACGCCAATCCACAGTGGGGCCGCGTGGTGGACTATGTCCTAATACCCTCCGCTCAGAGGAGGCCTTTGCCCACCACTGAGACATGTATAGGCTGTTACTTTACTTTATTTTATTTAACTAGTTAGTAAATATTAAGCGGTTCTTATTCATGCCATACGAAGCACAATATCTCAGTGATACTAGTTCGAGATGATTTAAAAGCATTAACGATGCTTTTAAAACACCCATTCCCGCCCACGACCCTTTAAAAATTGAAGACAGTCTTATTATTTATCGCCAAAAAGTATTATATTATCATCGTGACTAGATCACATTCCCATTTGTATAATCAAATTTGTCGGACGCGTTTCGTTTCTAAGTGCACCGAACGACTAAAAGTGCGCAGTCGAAATTGCATTAAACCATTATAAAAGTCGCGCCAAGTTGGATCGCTGTTATAAACGACCTTTTAAGCTGTTGGCAATGGCCGCCAGCTAAGTGGGGCAGGAATTCTTTTACAAGCTCTGAACGAGAAAGTGATGAGTGATATTTTAATCAGCGCTACTGAAGTTTTTAAACACTGGCGGCGTCAACCGTATTTATAATTTGTAGAAAGTGTTGTCAGTTATATAATCTGTTGAATAGTTGATAAGTTTAAGAAATGCAGTTGCCGGGATTTGTTATTTCTATACGCCGAGCAAATGGTAAGCATGTAAAGGAATCACTTTGCTCGTCTTACCCGTTATTGTATCTAACTTTTAAAGGAATTGTCATTAATACATCGCGCATTGAATTCAATATAAGGTTATTCAATTTGTTTGGTGTGTTGGTAATGAAATGTTTATAAATGAAAAAAAAAGAAAGAAGAAAAAGTAGGTATTATCTAGGACTTTAACCGCAGTGATAGTCAACTGTGATTATAGTCAACTGTGATTTTTAAAACATTTTGATCTTATAAAATATTTTAAAAAGCGCTGTTTTGAAGACTTTTTAATAACATTTAAATTGAAATCATTTTATGCATTTAAAATACCCCTTTCTAATTTGTAAAGCGTACCGTCTCAAATGTCTTGTGTACTAAATTAAAAGAAAGTGGAAATGTATGTTTGTTGAGAAAATTACGTTTATACAAGCTATTAGCAATGAATGTCAACATTTTCGAGTGACATGGGTATTACAGTTAATATGAACGGAAATCATTTACAAAAATCAACACTGTTTCGATGTAACTCGCATACAGAATAAATATTTCATCCGCCGTCTACTGTATTGTCGTTAAAACAACATATAAATTATTTCAGTATGAATATTACACATTATTTATAAAGCGAATCGAAGCCGTGGCTCTTCGTAAACAAAAATGTTTCGTACACACGATAGGCAAACAACGTCCATTGTTAATTTGGTACAAAAACACGCTTTAAAATATCCCGCCCTCATATTTCGGCATATTGGTGTACATATGTAAATATCTACGTACATATATTTGCCCATCGTCGAACGTGGGGCTATTATCGTCCCTTGTTTTTTTAGATTGTTTGCTAAAGACGCATCTACATGATGCCCGCGCCTATGTAAGCGTACAGTGTAAACAGGCCCTTATGAACGCATCGTAAGCTCGTAGTGAGAGCAATGACATAGCATTTTTGTTTTTTGACACAGATTTTTTTTATTTACCTAGCTTTATCGCTTTCAACTTTTAAATTATAATGATAATGTTTGAAATCAAATAATATTCATGACTGGCTGATATCAGCGACTTTGAATGCGTGTTGATTATTATATTAAAAACTACACCGCTTGTCCCACTTTTGGACGACCAAGAAACCAACTTCAATGAAGATATCGTATTGGTTTTTTTAGATCAGGGCCAAATTTTTAAAAACATTCAATTTAATTGAAATCTATCCCGTAGTTTTTCAATAATGCGTGAACAACTCTATCATATTCATATGGATGTTATTTGTAATTTACTGAATTATGTACATTTCAACACAAGCAAAAAAATTTAGTAGCCCTTTGTACGTAACTTTATCTTCGTACAGAATCAAAAAAAAGTAATTTGAAGATTACTAATCCGAATACATTTCAAAGTTTAAATACAACTATGCAAAGACGAAGTTCTACAAAACAAATTATTTACTTTCGTTTGATATTATATTTCTGTCATATTTGAAATAAAATTCTGTCAGAGGAGGAAACAAAGATAGATAATAGTAGACATCTAGTGCCGTTGTCGACGTGAAAAATTCTCCGCCAAGAACGGCGTCCATTACGTGCGTCGCCATTTTCCGTTTCCCCGATGTCCGCGCACAAAAGGCACAGGCAGTACCGATACAGCCTCCTTACCGCGTTGTAAACTGGAGTTTATTTTACCTGGATACGTGCCTCAGGCAATCCGATCTTTTCGGCCAATCGCTCCCGCGCAAACACGTCCGGGTAGTGCGTTCGCTCGAACTCTGTTGAAAATCATAGAATATTTAGAATACTACTCATTCAAGAGTTTTGAAGAGTTTATAATAAACAGGAACATTATTCCATACTGAAATATTTAAAGAAAACTATCAAATTATTCAAAATCCGCTCCAATTTGTTTAGACGTAACAAGAGAATATTTGTAACACTTCTAATTCTGGTCGTTTGAGTCATTTGATAAATATTTTAATGTCTTTTATCTGCACATACATTTTTAACATCAGGTTGAAGTTTGAATGAGTTGATAAAACATTAATATCGATTGTGATTGTAAGATATTGTTGATTGGCATAAAGCGTTAATGAACGTTGAAATTAGAATTGCGGAGGAAAGAAATAATCGTAGCACGGGACACGAGCAAACAGTCCAGCGACAAAAACTGAGATTAACGCGTGCCAACAACAATAATTGGACCCCGCCACCGGCCGAGAGCTCGGCAAATATCGGGGGGAAATATATTTATTTATTTGCTAATAACCGTGTTGTGTCAAGGCAAACAATAAATAAGATGAAAGGAACATTGGGAAATGGGTTTATGGAGGCCCTCGGGAGCTCTTACTTGGCCGTGCCGCGGGACTCTCAGTTTTGTTAGTTCTCCGCGATATTGCACGATCAGGATTGACATATTTAGACAGGGGACTTTATTTAGCACATAACTGTTATTAGATTACTTTATTAGTCAAGGTAAGCCAGAAAGTTTAGATGAGACTATACGAGATAAATAATCGAAATTAAAATTAACAACTCTACTGTAAAACATCGTTTATTCTAGATTTTGGTTTGAAATAAACTCCATTGCTCATTTATAGGTCGAAAATGTTCCGAATGTTCCTAGTTCGACCAGGAATTATTGCCAAGAACTTCAAAATAGTCGCCAAGTCAATAAAATTAAAGGTATTCGACAACATTAGATCTACGAAAAACGACAAACGGCAAAACTTTCATCGTTTTTCCCAATTGCTAGTAAATTCGAGACCGATTACTGGCGACCGATCCGCTTCGATGTATATCTGAATAACAGACTTACAAAACAATGAAAGTATCTCGTCGTTAGTTTTTCGGAGCATCGTGGTTGCGATCGCTGTTGAAGCAATAAAGATTTAGAAGGCAACGCATTTGCAACACCTTTGTTGCGAATGTTTTGAGTAACCTAAAAGAGATCTTTGGATTGGGTGCAATCAGGTAAACTCCCTTAATTGCCACGATCATATATCCTCATAATATTATCAATGTCATATCGATTTGTGCGATTTTTTAGTAATTTTCTGTCACAAATGTCCCGACCGGTAAAATTTGGTACATTAAAAGAGATCACCAATAGATGTGCTTGCTGTGCCACTAATTTAACAAAACGATTATTATTCTGTATTAAAAGGCAAATTTCTTCCAAACCTTTCTCCAGGCTGTCGATCTGGTCGTTCGTAAAGGAGGTCCGGTTCCGCTGCAGTTTCCTCTTCAGCCGCAGCCTCATCTGCGAGTCCTCGTCGCCCGAGGAAGCGTGCTCGCTGTTCCCGTCCGACCCCGCCTCCGACTGCAGGGGGTCTGCTAACAAAGCGTTCACTATTAAGGACCTCTGAGCTAAGACCATGTATCTCTATTGCGGCTTACAAAGCGTTCACTATTTAGGACCTCTGAACTAAGAGGTATCTCTACTGCAGACCAACGTCGACAGAGCAGCGAGCCTAGATTTTAATAGATGTTCAGTTCACTGTTGAACTAAACAGTTTTGTTTCCAATTTTTACCTAAAGTATACCAATTTGTAGTAAGAACCAAAATATAATGTGACAAGCAGTCAATTTACGTTCGGTCATCAAGCAAACCACGCATTCTCAAATTATCATACCTAATTATCATGTCATAAATATCATCATATTCGGTGTTAGGAGTACCCTTCCCCCCCCCCCCCCCCCAGAATAGAAAATGTTATAGAAAAAAATTATGCAGATCCTGTGTCTGATAGAGTTTTCTTCTGCTTCTGCTTTTATTTAAAACATTGCCCTTACTTTTTGATAACATTATCCTGTGTTGTAAGGACGATTTACAAACATAAATTTCACGTGGACAAACACCCAGATGCGAAACAACTATCTTAGGGTCCCGTGTGGGGATCGAACCCACGGCCATCGAAACCGAAGCCAATATCTTGATCAACTGTACCGTGTAGTTCTTAAAACTGAATGGAGAGATATCGTTCAATAAAGATAGAGAAGGGGGTAAGTACAACGTCACTCTTAGGTAGATATAGAGAAAAATTAGTTAATATTTTTACTGGCTATCTGTGGAAGTATACAGAAAGTCGATGGATGTAGGTGTAAACAAAAATCATAAACCACCACTAAATCCTAGAACTAGAAACCAAGCTAAAAGCATCGAGGAGCACTTTTCGAGAAGATTCTAATGATGAACACTGTCTAAAGCGATCCCTAACCGGTTTCGTATGGACGAAGGATCATAATAGACAGTGTAACTATTTAAAAAATTAACAGAATGCTCCTCGTAGCGACGTCGAGGGCCCTTCATCATGAACTATCAACACAAGTCGCATAACAAAACACACTCGACGGCCATCAAGCAAATGCGTCAGCAGAATTGTACAATTGCACCCCACAATTACAGACAAAAATGCAACAACGACCAGTCACGCCGAACCGAGCTCGCAAGCAACCAACTGCACCGCGAGGCTCAGCTGACAATGGATGTTGCCATCCCCCAAATAAGGGTGGTTGCAAAATTAAACGTTACTCGTAATGTTGTCGACATGCCCCCGGCTAATTGATTAATTTGCTTTATGGTCGAAGCACTCGAGCCCGGGTTCGGTTCCAGGCTCCGTAATGTGTACGGGTTGCTGACTTCTTTGAATGGGACGACTGTTACGCAATCTGTCACATTTTTCCATCGTAGTACGGCCGTGGGTTAATATACCTAATGGTATGTTGCCAGTGTTTATGAAACACAACTTGTTTTCTGAACAGTTTTATATAATGTTCATAACGTGATAGGATTAATGTCATTGAAGAAAAGGAAATTGATCATTCTCCATTTTCGTGTAGAAATATAAATCTATATTTAAATGTATCCGGACGCTTAATATATCATGAGGAAACCTGCATAACTAACAAATAATGTATTTCGAAAGATATGTGACGTCGATTCGCATTAAGATCATTTCATTATTTTCATTCCGTAAAATTTTTTAATATTATGGTATGTCTTCTTTCAATAACATGGTAAATTAACACTAAAAACCTCCCTAATATTTTTATACTTTTGGTGTGTTTACCAGCTATAGCTGAATCCCCACTCCACTGGCATAGCGATGAAAGCATTGCCAATTAAAAAAAAAGTGCGATAGATTGTCATAAAAACACTCGTTTGACACTATGGAAAAATGAAAACCCAAGCACGGTTTATGACGCCGCGTTTGATAGAGGCGCGCTCTCGACATGATTGATGCGCGACAGCCGCTCGGCGAAACATGGCGGACTTTCCAATCGGTTGACAATTTTGATTGATCGGTCGCCCTGTCGCGTCGCGGCCCGTACGCGCCTTTATCACGTCATCGAACGCACTGATGCCATTGGATGAAATAAAGAACCAACGCTTCGGCTTGAATTTGGAATAGAAACGAGGAATCCTTTTTGTTTTTTGAATTACAATTTCGAATTTCGAACGTCTCACTCATTAATACGGAGCAAGCGAATCGTTCTCTTTTTCTAATCATAGCATCGGAAAGGCAACGGAACAAATACTGGGATGTCTTGTAACGAAAGAAAAAGAAATATTAATTCGCAGCCGGGGTGGGTGAAAGCCGAATTGTGTTCGGTCGCAGCGCCACGGGTTTTCCCATTATTTATCGCAGCCCGAACGTAAAGGAAGGAATTCATTAAAAGAAAAATGCAAAACGAGCCGCACTTAGCCGCAATTCCTCCCAATAACGACCTACAAATTATCGAGGAGCACCGATGGCGCGGGCGGGGGAAACACGAAAAAATACATAGGAGAAAATAATAGTAAGAAATAAGAAAAGGAGCGAAATAAAAGCGGGCGGCGGTGGAGAGACGGAAAAAATTGGAGAGAACAAGAATAAAGGGGAGCGGAGAGAGTAAGGAGCGGAGAGATAAGGCGGAATTGGAGTTATCGAGGCGGACATGACGGTCGTAGGTGGGGGGCGATTGGCGGCGGGCGATTATGTGAGATCGATACTGTCACTCAACTTGGGGATGCCAGTCGGGAAAGGTAGCGACTTCGCTTCTTTTTGGGCCACAAATTTTAGATTATAGACAACAGCGATTTAAACATAATAGTAATTCAAAAATGTTATTATGACATGTTATGATGGGTTGGTAGAACAATTGTATCGGGCTATAATAATATTGAAATATCTTAGTTGGTACTAGATCATCTGAGTTGTCAACAAGGATAACGTCCCTACTTGTACATTCGGAAGGTTCGCTGAATGTGTAATTTATTCAAAATCATATAATTCATTGAAGTTAATAAATACATGCCGCAATTTTCATGTTTAGACCGATCATCGCACACACGGTTAGATAATAAAGAACAGACTAATGAACAGTTCCGGACAAATATATTTTTAAAATTGTTATAATTAAAACGCATCCGCTTATACTTTGTGACGCGGCCTAGCTCGCGACCTCGGCTGCGGCCGGACAAGGCGCGATCCGCCTAATTCGTTACGGTTCCGCAACTGGATGTTTTCTGAATATTTATAAAAAAAAATGGCGATTTAAAAATTCGAAAGCACCAATCACATATACACGTTCACTGGGAAGACATTAAAAACTTAAGAAATACTTCATTTTCGAATCTATATCGGAATTTGGAAACATGAAAAAAAAGAAATGAAATAATGTCTCGTAAGCTTTAAAACCATTAAATTGTATTATCTGGGACAATAAAAGCGCGAGCTGTTCAGGATTAAAGTCAAGATAATAAATCGGAAAAATAAATATGTACTGTTATGTGTGAAAAAAAATATAGAAAAAATGTATGTCAAACTGCAGACGCTTTACGCTTTGCAACCAACTTTATCATGTCGACTTTTGGCTCTCGCTGTAATTTTTTTGAAAATATGCAGGTTTCCGCAATACGTTTCCCTAACCGTAGAGCACGTGATAATTTAACACTTAAAATTAACAATGTCATTGGTACCTGCAAGGGATCGAACTCAGGTTACGCGAGTATATGGAATTAAAAGTAAGAGCCCGGACAATGAGCTATCACGGCTTTACGTTATTACAAGACGTTACTCTAAGTATTTGTATTTACAGTTCTATTTCACGGTGTTAGGGTTACATATTCAATCATTCCGAGACATTTATGAAACGGGAATTATTTAGAATAATTTTCCTTAAATATCACACGTGTGAGATGAATGACAAATATACAGCGACACTAAAGCCATACAACATGATGATAAATGAGAAATAAATGATCCGAGGAAATGTAGGCGCACCCTAATAAAGACATTATTATCGAAGATTAACCATTCGGACGGGAGCTCGCGTGGCGGCGGTCGTTCCAACGGCGGCTATTAGCTTCGGGGGAGGTGCAGGGGTCCGGGTTTATTGGTTGTTTGTAATCAACCATTCGCTTTATGGCCCCGGCGGGGTCATCTAAATTACTTAGCGTTGGGGCAGATAAGGTTTAGTTTTTATTATTGTGACTTCAAGTGAGCCAATTGATGGGCAATGCTTGTCCTTTTCGGATGTGGGGGACCGTCGGTACTTACGTTATGTTCGTGTTGTAATAGACAACATTAGAGGATTGTTGCTACGGTCGTTTGACGTTTTTTTTTCCAGTGTACATTTGGGTTCTTTGAACGAAAGATATAACAATTTCGCCTTTACATATAACATCAGTCAAGCTTTAAACTCATCCATTTTAAACTGAGACAATGCGTATTTTGCTTGATTTGTCAATCTTACATGCAACAACAAAGTAATAATAATAATATTGGCCAGACTTTTTGCATGGTAATAATGAATTGAAACTTTTGGCTATAGAACACTGTTACCACGAAAACGTACGGGTCCCGCTGTTTAAATTAGAGGACTATTCCGCACTAGAAAAGTACAGTAAGTTGCGAAGTAGCTGTTGGAGTAACCAGGTTCAATATAATTTAAACAGTAATAAATAACACAAGCGTTACCATACGCTAAACAAAGGGTGACTAATAAGAAGTATACATTACGTAAATCGGTTACATATACCTAAGGGCAAGAGTAAAAGTATTATGGTAGTCAATTCGCTGCTACAAATGGATAATATTACAGCTCTTTAACATCACAGATTAGACTCGTGTTAAGGAAATAATTCTAAAGACTCGATTGATAGAATCTCTCGCTAGTTAAGCGAAAACACAATACGCGCGGTCGTGCCACCTCAATAGCGTTCAACTTCTGCATCAAGCTCTACTCGAGTGGAGAGCGTATCATTTCGATCGTTTTTAAAACACAAAGCTCACTACACTCCTGCGTCATATTTAATAGGGTGTAGCTCGTCGAAACAATCGGGTTCGATG